CCCCTCTCCCTCCTCTCCTCCCCTCTCTCCCTCCTCCTCCTCTCCTCCCTCTCTCCCCTCCTCTCCCCTCCTCCTCCTCCCCTCTCCCCCTCTCTCCCTCCTCCCTCTCCTCCTCCCCTCCTCTCCCCTCCTCTCCCCTCTCCCCCTCCTCTCTCCTCCTCTCTCCTCCTCTCCCCTCCTCTCCCTCCTCTCCCTCCTCTCTCTCCTCTCCCTCCCTCCTCCTCTCTCCTCTCCCTCCTCTCTCCCTCCTCTCCCTCCTCTCTCCCTCCTCTCCCTCCTCTCTCCCCTCTCCTCCCCCTCTCTCCCTCCTCTCTCCCCTCTCCTCCCTCCTCTCTCCTCCTCTCTCCCCCTCTCCCTCCTCTCTCCTCCTCTCCCCCTCTCTCTCCTCTCCCCTCTCCCTCCTCTCCCTCCCTCTCTCCCCCTCTCACCTCCTCTCTCCCCCCCCCCCCCTCCCTCCTCTTTTCCCTCTCACCTCCTCTCTCCTCTTCACCCCTCTTCACCTCTCTCCCCCTCTCACCCTCTCACTCTCTTCTCCTCACTCTCTCACCCCTCTCTCCTCCTCTCACCCCCTCTCACCTCCTCTCTCCCCCTTACTCCTCTCACCCCCTCTCTCCCCTCTCACCTCCTCTCTCCTCCTCTCACCCCTCTCACCTCCTCTCACCTCCTCTCACCCCCTCTCACCTCTCTCACCTCCTCTCACCCCCTCTCCCCTCTCACTCCTCTCTCCTCTCTCACCTTTCCTCTCACCCCTCTCACCTCCTCTCTCCACCTCTCTCCACCTCTCTCCACCTCTCACCTCCTCTCTCCCCCTCTCTCCCCCTCTCACCTCCTCTCACCTCCTCTCACCTCCCGTCTCCTCCTCAGGTGGTGTATGCATCTAAAGACCCAGTGTGGGAGGAGGGCTTCACCTTCTTTGTGCACAACGTCCAGACACAACAGCTGCATGTGCAGGTCAGACCAGGACCCGGACCAGGACCAGGACCAGGACTAGGACACAGACCTGGACCAAGACCTGGACCTGGCAGCAGTAGCAGTGTGTGTGTGTTGCAGGTGAAGGAGCCAGAGAAGAAGAGTCCTCTGGGAGCCCTGACTCTTCCTCTCAGTCGTCTGCTGAACATTTCTGACATGGTTCTGGACCAGCGCTTCCTGCTGGAGAGATCTGGAGCTACAAGTCAGATCAAACTGAAGGCCACGCTCCGGGTCAGACTACACTTCATACACCGACACCAGAGAGAGAGACCAGAAAGAGACCAGAGAGAGAGACCAGAGAGAGAGACCAGAGAGAGAGACCAGAGAGAGAGACCAGAGAGAGAGACCAGAGAGAGACCAGAGAGAGAGACCAGAGAGAGAGACCAGAGAGAGAGACCAGAGAGAGAGACCAGAGAGACCAGAGAGAGACCAGAGAGAGAGACCAGAGAGCGAGAGACCAGAGAGCGAGAGACACCAGAGAGCGAGAGACACCAGAGAGCGAGAGACACCAGAGAGCGAGAGACACCAGAGAGCGAGAGACACCAGAGAGCGAGAGACCAGAGACCAGAGACCAGAGACCAGAGACCAGAGACCAGAGACCAGAGACCAGAGACCAGAGACCAGAGACCAGAGACCAGAGACCAGAGAGCCAGAGACCAGAGACCAGAGACCAGAGACCAGAGACCAGAGACCAGAGACCCAGAGACCCAGAGACCCAGAGACCCAGAGACCCAGAGACCCAGAGACCCAGAGACCCAGAGACCCAGAGACCCAGAGACCCAGAGACCCAGAGACCCAGAGACCCAGAGACCCAGAGACCCAGAGACCCAGAGACCCAGAGACCCAGAGACCCAGAGACCCAGAGACCCAGAGACCCAGAGACCCAGAGACCCAGAGACCCAGAGACCCAGAGACCCAGAGACCCAGAGACCCAGAGACCCAGAGACCCAGAGACCCAGAGACCCAGAGACCCAGAGACCCAGAGACCCAGAGACCCAGAGACCCAGAGACCCAGAGACCCAGAGACCCAGAGACCCAGAGACCCAGAGACCCAGAGACCCAGAGACCCAGAGACCCAGAGACCCAGAGACCCAGAGACCCAGAGACCCAGAGACCCAGAGACCCAGAGACCCAGAGACCCAGAGACCCAGAGACCCAGAGACCCAGAGACCCAGAGACCCAGAGACCCAGAGACCCAGAGACCCAGAGACCCAGAGACCCAGAGACCCAGAGAGCCAGAGACCAGAGACCAGAGAGCCAGAGAGCCAGAGACCAGAGACCAGAGAGCCAGAGACCAGAGAGCCAGAGACCAGAGAGCCAGAGAGCCAGAGACCAGAGAGCCAGAGACCAGAGAGCCAGAGACCAGAGAGCCAGAGACCAGAGAGCGAGAGACCAGAGAGCGAGAGACCAGAGAGCGAGAGACCAGAGAGCGAGAGACCAGAGAGCGAGAGACCAGAGAGCGAGACCAGAGAGCGAGACCAAAGAGCGAGAACCTAAACAAATAAACAAAACATGGAACTTGCTCATAGGGACCATGCTCCAAACACATTTCTAATATAAGGATTATCTCCGTGCTCTTAAATGCCTCTGCTGCCCTTGTCTCAGTAAGATCTAGTTTCCGTGGTTACATGCAGCTGGTTTTTAACTCCTCGATCACAGCACGTGAAAGAGACAGATCTGGTTTCATTACAGCGGTGGTTCATGTTTTTCAGATTCTGACCGAAGACAAACCTCCTCCAAAGATCCAGGTGACTCAACCGTCGTTCAGCGAGAGCCCCCCTGCTGGCCCCGCCCCTCAGACCTCTGGCCCCTCCCCTCCTCTGCAGAGCTCCACCCCTCTGGTCCGTAGCTCCGCCTCCTCGTCCGCGGTCCAGAACCCGGATCCAGGTGCGAACCCTCCAGGACAGAGCTCAGGCCTGGGACCTCAGCGGCTGCAGTCGCCCTCCTCCTCCAGCATGAGGCGCTATGACTCCCAGAGTCTACTGTCTGACAACTCTATCGCATCATCACGGTTCGACCTGACCGAGGGAGCCAACTATCCTGAGTGAGTACCATGTGGGGGACCAGAGGGAGACCAGAGAGAGAGACCAGAGAGAGAGACCAGAGAGAGAGACCAGAGAGAGAGACCAGAGAGAGAGACCAGAGAGAGAGACCAGAGAGAGAGACCAGAGAGAGAGACCAGAGAGAGAGAGACCAGAGAGAGAGACCAGAGATCGACACAGAGAGAGGGTCTCTCTCTCTTTGTCTCTTTGTGTGTCTCTCTGCGTCTCTCTCTGTGTGTCTCTCTCTGTGTGTGTCTCTCTGTGTGTGTCTCTCTCTGTGTGTCTCTGATGTTGTGTGTGTTCAGAGCCGTGAGGAACCACAGTGGTTCGTTTGGACAGATCCATCTCACAGTGAAGTACACTACACTGAGGAACAGGCTGATCGTGCTGGTGGACGCCTGCAGGTGCTACACACTGCTACACACAGCAACACACTGCTACACACAGCAACACACTGCTACGCACTGCTACACACTGTAACACACTGCTACACACTGCTACACACAGCAACACACTGCTACACACTGTAACACACTGCAACACACTGTAACACACTGTAACACACTGCAACACACTGCAACACACTGCAACACACTGCAACACACTGCAACACACTGCAACACACTGCTACACACAGCAACACACAGATACACACTGTAACAGACTGATACACACTGTAACACACTAGCACACTGCTACACACTGCAACACACTGTAACACACTGCTACACACTGCTACACACTGTAACACACTGTAACACTGTAACACACTGCTACACACTGTAACACACTGCTACACACTGCAACGCACTGCTACACACTGCTACACACTGCAACACACTGCAACACACTGCAACACACTGCAACACACTGCTACACACAGCAACACACTGCAACACACTGCAACGCACTGCTACACACAGCAACACACTGCTACACACTGCTACACACTGCAACACACTGCTATACACTGCAACACACTGCTACACACTGCTACACACTGCAACACACTGTAACACACTGTAACACACTGCAACACACTGAAACACACTGCTACACACTGCTACACACAGCAACACACTGCTACACACTGCTACACACAGCAACACACTGCAACACACTGCTACGCACTGCTACACACTGTAACACACTGCTACACACTGCTACACACAGCAACACACTGCTACACACTGTAACACACTGCAACACACTGTAACACACTGCAACACACTGTAACACACTGCAACACACTGCAACACACTGCAACACACTGCAACACACTGCAACACACTGCAACACACTGCAACACACTGCTACACACAGCAACACACAGATACACACTGTAACAGACTGATACACACTGTAACACACTGCTACACACTGTAACACACTAGCACACTGCTACACACTGCAACACACTGTAACACACTGCTACACACTGCTACACACTGTAACACACTGCTACACACTGTAACACACTGCTACACACTGTAACACACTGCTACACACTGCAACGCACTGCTACACACTGTAACACACTGTAACACACTGCTACACACTGCAACACACTGTAACACACTGTAACACACTGCAACACACTGCTACACACAGCAACACACTGCAACACACTGATACACACTGTAACACACTGTAACATACTGATACACACTGTAACACACTGCTACACACTGTAACACACTGCTACCCACTGCTACACAATACTACACACTGCTACACACAGCAACACACTGCTACACACTGCTACACACTGTAACACACTGCTACACACTGCTACACACTGCTACACACAGCAACACACTGCTACACTCTGTAACACACTGTAACACACTGCTACACACTGCTACACACTGTAACACACTGTAACACACTGCTTCACACTGCTACACATATCAACACACTGCAACACACTGCAACACACTGCTACACACTGCAACACACATCAACAAACAGCAACACACTGCGACACACTCTCTGCGACACACACATTGCAACACGCTAAAGCTGGGCTAATGGCACATACTGGTTGTGTGTGTGTTGATGTGTGTGTGTGTGTGTGTTCATATATGTGTTTGTTTGTGTATTCATGTGTGTGTGTGTGTGTATGTTCATATGTGTGTGTTCATGTGTATGTTCATATGTGTGTGTGTGTGCTCATATATGTGTGTGTTCATGTGTGTGTGTGTGCTCATATATGTGTGTGTTCATGTGTGTGTTCATATGTGTGTGTGTGTGCTCATATATGTGTGTGTTCATATGTGTGTGTGTGTGCTCATATATGTGTGTGTTCATATGTGTGTGTGTGTGTGCTCATATATGTGTGTGTTCATATGTGTGTGTGTGTGTTCCTCAGAGACCTGTTTCCCTGCAGTGAGAACGGCACAGATTCGTACGTTCGGTTTTATCTTCTCCCGGATCAGAGCTGGACTCACCGCAAGAGGACCACAGTGAAGAGGAGGACCCTGTGCCCTGTGTTCAACGACAAGTACACAACTACAACACACAACACCACACACACAACACACACCACAGTGAAGAGGAGGACCCTGTGCCCCGTGTTCAACGACAAGTACACAACTACAACACACAACACCACACACACAACACACACCACAGTGAAGAGGAGGACCCTGTGCCCTGTGTTCAACGACAAGTACACAACTACAACACACAACACCACACACACAACACACACCACAGTGAAGAGGAGGACCCTGTGCCCCGTGTTCAACGACAAGTACACAACTACAACACACAACACCACACACACGACTGTACAACTGACCAGTGTGTTATTTATGAGACTAAATTTACAGACTCGAGCTTTAAACATGTGTTATTTATGAGACTAAAGTTACAGACCTGTGCTTTAAACATGTGTTATTTATGAGACTAAAGTTACAGACCTGAGCTTTAAACATGTGTTATTTATGAGACTAAAGTCACGTGTCCTTGTTTTTCAGGTTTGAGTTCGACGTCTCGTATGAAGAAGCCAAAACGAGGAAGTTGGACGTCGCTGTAAAAAATCACAAGATGTTTCACACACGAGAGAGAAAAGACATCGGGATGGTCAGAAACAACAACATTATTAATGTAATAAATACGTTTATGTTAAAGACACAGGTTTCCACAGGTGCTGCTGGATCTGGGTCAGCTCGACATCCTGAAAGGCGTGACAGACTGGTAAGATACAGGTGTAATGTGAGGTCTTGTAACACAGGTGTAATGTGAGGTCTTGTAACACAGGTGTAATGTGAGGTCTGTAACACAGGTGTAATGTGAGGTCTATAACACAGGTGTAATGTGAGGTCTTGTAACACAGGTGTAATGTGAGGTCTTGTAACACAGGTGTAATGTGAGGTCTTGTAACACAGGTGTAATGTGAGGTCTGTAACACAGGTGTAATGTGAGGTCTGTAACACAGTGGTAATGTGAGGTCTGTGACACAGATGTAATGTAAGGTCTGTAACACAGGTGTAATGTGAGGTCTGTAACACAGGTGTAATGTGAGGTCTGTGACACAGGTGTAATGTGAGGTCTGTAACACAGGTGTGACACAGGTGTAATGTGAGGTCTGTAATACAGGTGTAATGTGAGGTCTGTAATAGAGGTGTAATGTGAGGTCTGTTACACAGGTGTAATGTGAGGTCTGTAACACAGGTGTGACACAGGTGTAATGTGAGGTCTTGTAACACAGGTGTAATGTGAGGTCTTGTAACACAGGTGTAATGTGAGGTCTGTAACACAGGTGTAATGTGAGGTCTGTGACACAGGTGTAATGTGAGGTCTGTAACACAGGTGTAATGTGAGGTCTGTAACACAGGTGTAATGTGAGGTCTGTGACACAGGTGTAATGTGAGGTCTGTAACACAGGTGTAATGTGAGGTCTGTAATACAGGTGTGACACAGGTGTAATGTGAGGTCTGTAATAGAGGTGTAATGTGAGGTCTGTTACACAGGTGTAATGTGAGGTCTGTAACACAGGTGTGACACAGGTATAATGTGAGGTCTTGTAACACAGGTGTAATGTGAGGTCTGTAACACAGGTGTAATGTGAGGTCTGTAATACAGGTGTAATGTGAGGTCTGTGACACAGGTGTAATGTGAGGTCTGTAACACAGGTGTAATGTGAGGTCTGTAATACAGGTGTAATGTGAGGTCTGTAATACAGGTGTAATGTGAGGTCTGTTACACAGGTGTAATGTGAGGTCTGTAACACAGGTGTGACACAGGTGTAATGTGAGGTCTGTAATACAGGTGTAATGTGAGGTCTGTAATACAGGTGTAATGTGAGGTCTGTAATACAGGTGTAATGTGAGGTCTGTAATACAGGTGTAATGTGAGGTCTGTTACACAGGTGTAATGTGAGGTCTTCTGCAGGTTTGAGCTCACGCTGCCTGGACTGAGGAGGCCGTAACATCTGGGACATAGGACGAAAACTGGACGTCTTTGGAATTCTACAAAATGTTTAGGGAATTCTCAGAAAATTGAGTTGTTATTTTTCAACTAACCAGGACCAAGAGGAACTAAAGAAGGACCTGGTACCAGTGGAAACACTAGAGAGTAGAGTAGAGTAGAGTAGAGTAGAGTAGAGTAGAGTAGAGTAGAGTAGAGTAGAGTAGAGTAGAGTAGAGTAGAGTAGAGTAGAGTAGAGTAGAGTAGAGTAGAGTAGAGTAGAGTAGAGTAGAGTAGAGTAGAGTAGAGTAGAGTAGGGTAGGGTAGGGTAGAAACAGGGATGCAGTCATTTAGGACCATGGAACAGTCCAGATGGTTTCTCTGGACTAAAACTCACAGGTCACAGTTAAAATAGATTCTGTTCTTGAAATCTGCTGTTACAAATTTTATTCCACAATATCTTTTATTTTTTGTAAAATTTAAATATAGAATTATTCAGGTTCTGTTTGTGTGATATGTGTCATTGTGGGTGAAGAGCATCATAGAAAGTGAATGTATATTTACTAAATATAAAGTATATATAAAATATAAATTAAAGTTGCACTAAGTCTGTATGTTACAACAGGAGTCTGTTACGACGCTCATGGAAGCTGCTGCTTGGAGGTTTTCACTTGTAAATTATCTGATATATTTAAGATTTGTATTTTTATCTTCTTACTGAATGTTTTAATAAAAAACTGAAATAAATTAACAAGATAAACCATAGTGACTGTTTTTTGTCATTGCTGTTTTAGTCCTGCTTTAGACCTGGTTCAGACTTGCTTTAGACCTGCTTTAGACCTGGCTCAGACCTGCTTCAGACCTTTTTTAGACCTGCTTTAGACCTGGTTCAGACTTGCTTTAGACCTGCTTTAGACCTGGCTCAGACCTGCTTCAGACCTTTAGACCTGGTTCAGACTGGCTTTAGACCTGCTTTAGACCTGGTTCTGTTTTGTATTTAAATCTATGGCGGCAGAGATCACACGGACTTCCTTGACAACGCTCCTAGCAACGGCCCTGGCAACGCTCACAGCCACGAGCCCATGTCCCGCCGCTAAGGCTCAAGTTATAAAAACTACTCAAAACGCGACTAAAGGTTATTTAAAGTCTCTGAACATGGAGCAGAACGAGGTAAGGCAGCCCACACACACACACACACACACACACACACACACACACACACACACACACACACACACACACACACACACACACACACACACACACACACACACACACACACACACACACACACATACACACACACACACACACACACATACACATACACATACACATACACATACACATACACATACACACACACACACTACACCCACTGCTTTCAGCCCACTTCTCACCCGTTTGGACCGAAAACACAGCGGGAACTCCAGGCTAACGTTATGTTTAAGCTAGCGCAGGATGCCCGCGAGCTCACCACCTGCTTCACATTTACCTTATTCATTCTTCTGTTTTACCCATGGATCTATTAGAATATAGACCCGCTCAGACAATTAAACACATAGGTTAGATACTTTATTGATCCCCGTTGGAAAAATGCAGAAATCCAGATAAGAAAACATGTCCATCCAAAAAAGACAAATGCAGAATTCTAGAGTGAAACGGGTTCAATTTCGTGTTTATGATATCATTCTTGCTCTTTTTTATTTATTTTTATTTTTATCTTTACTACTGAATATAACTGAAACACAGTAAAACTAGCAAATGCTAACTGATGCAAGTAAACAGCGGGTTGCTATGGTAACTGGCACTTGATCCACCTGAGATTGCTCTGAATCAGTCCAGGACCAGTCCAGGATCAAGATAATGTCATTATTGCATAGGAATAAACTACGTATGGTGTTTTAATTTTACACTTCTAAAATGAAAAGCCGTGAATTTGACTGCTCTGGGAGTTCTAGTGTGAGGCGTGTTATGTTGGCTTGTATAAACTGTGCTATACAACTAAACTTGCCTTATCTATTAAGATAAGATATATTTTATTGATCTCAGTCAGATCTAAGTCAGCTTTTTATGAAAGAAGAAACACATTTTTTTTAATATTCCCTGCTCTAAAATATGATGTACATCTTTAGTATCTTTAGTTTGAACTTATTAAAAAGAGACTGTTACTCTTCCCCTTAAACCCACACATAACGATCTGCAGATAGGCGTAAAACTCTATAAAGCCTGCTGTTAATTAGACACACACAAATGTACGCACAGACACGCGCACAAGCACACACACACACACACGCAGTCTGGACCGGTCTGGTAAAAATCATGAACGACTGTGATGAACCAGTGTGATATTAAAGAACTATTGCACTAATAAACAGATGCTTTTGTCCAGAGTAAAAGCCGAGCTCAGAGGAGAGTGATGATGAGTGACAGCCCCACCTTCCCCTTGTACCAGTCTCTGCAGGTACCACAGCTTTAACCTGAGTTTGTGTTCATGTGTTCTGTGACCATCGACTGTATTCGAGGAGAGGACTGACAGAGTGTGACATCACCACAGAGTTAGCCTTTAGGCGAGAGAGGCCGGTTTAAACATACGTTGGAACCAATTTCCTTATATGGGCATTTGTTCTGACGCTGTTAGCTTCCCGCCTTAACAGGGGCAGACGTGTTGCTAAGATGGTTGCTAAGGTAAGATGGATTTCCTCGTGAATGATGGCCTCTGATTGGTCAATCCTTACATTGGTCAATCCTTGGGCGGCACGGTGGCTGAGTGGATAGCACTCTCGCTTCTCAGCAAGAAGGTCCTGGGTTTAAATCCTGGTTGGAACAGGGCCTTTCTGAGTGGAGTTTACCTGTTCTCCCCGTGTCTGTGTAGGTTTCCTCCGGGTGCTCCGGTTTTCTCCGGGTGCTCCGGTTTCCCCTACCACTAAAAACATGCACAATAGGTATGAATGTAAGTGAGAGAGTGAGTGGATGGTGTTGGAGCTGATGGTCCAGTGTGTTCTGGACTCACTTCTGTCATCACCGTGTGGAATGATTGGAACAATATCTGACTCTGAACATTGGAAAGTGCTTTGGGTGACCTTGGTCTGTAAAATGCGCTATATAAATAAACATTACTTACTTACTTACTTACATGGGTGAGGTTGATACGCACATTCAAATCTGAGTAGCGTGCAAACATTGTAAGATGAGAAAAATGGAGATGACTCTGAAGCTTTAGCTCCCAAGGAATTATTTTATTTTGCACTACAAGATGTGATGTTTCGGGCAAAACTACCTGATGAAGGGTAGTTTTTCTCAATCCTTTTGAGAAAAACCACAGATTAAAGAGAGACCAGAGAGACCAAAGATACACCAGAGACACACCAAGGAGAAACCAAAGAGAGAGACACCAGAGAGAGACCAGAGAGAGACCAGAGACACACCAGGGAGAAACCAAAGAGAGAGAGACCAGAGACACAGAAACCAAAGAGAGAGACACCAGACAGAGACCAGAGACACACCAGGGAGAAACCAAAGAGAGAGACACCAGAGAGAGACCAGAGAGAGAGAAACCAAAGAGAGAGAGACCAGAGAGAGAGAGACCAGAGACACAGAAACCAAAGAGAGATACACCAGACAGAGACCAGAGATAGAGAAAGAGACCAGAGACACACCTGGGAGAAACCAAAGAGAGAGACACCAGAGAGAGACCAGAGACACAGAAACCAAAGAGAGAGACACCAGACAGAGACCAGAGAGAGAGAGACCAGAGACACACCAGGGAGAAACCAAAGAGAGAGACACCAGAGAGAGACCAGAGAGAGAGACACTAGAGACACACCAGGGAGAAACCAAAGAGAGAGACACCAGAGAGAGACCAGAGAGAGAGAGACCAGAGACACACCAGGGAGAAACCAAAGAGAGAGACACCAGAGAGAGACCAGAGAGAGAGAGACCAGAGACACACCAGGGAGAAACCAAAGAGAGAGACACCCGAGAGAGACCAGAGAGAGACCAGAGACACAGAAACCAAAGAGAGAGAGACGAGAGAGAGACCAGAGACACACCAGGGAAAAACCAAAGAGAGAGACACCAGAGAGAGACCAGAGACACAGAAACCAAAGAGAGAGACTCCAGAGAGAGACCAGAGACACTCCAGAGAGAGAGACCAGAGAGACCTCAGACCTCTGAACTTACACATAAGCCCCAGTTTTCCTCTGACTTTAAAGTGTGGACAGTGACGGACTGTTCTCTTCTCTCAGAGTAAGCGTCCGTGGCACAACCTGAAGCCTCCGTTTTCTCCTCCGTTCCGCCGCACGCCTCACAGTGAGTTTATTTATTTATTTAAAGATCTATGTACAAATTTCCATCTGTAGTCCTTGTTTGTGTGTCTGTGTGTGTGTAGGGCTACAGTATTTGTTCATCACCACAGTGTGAAGCGTATAGCTGTATAAACCAATTGCATCTTTATTGTTATTTTTATTATTATTATAATCTTTGACAGACTGATTTCAGACAAACTTATTTGTTGATGATGTTGACCTCACATCCGTCTCTTCGTCTGATCTCACAGATGTGTTTGTGGGGAAGTCTTCGAGCCGCATTCGCCTCAGGGACAGCCGTCACAAGCTGCTGCAGAGGCACCTGTACCGCCGCACAGTGTTCAGGTCAGAGCCGCCTTTAAACAGGTCTGTGTTCTCAATCAGAGGTGTCGAACTCCTGTGGCCCCCTGGTGGACATCACAGTGTACTGCCAGAGTCCGGCTCAAATCCCCTTTATTAATCAATTTCTGGGCTGGGTTGTGACCATAGACGTAGTCACGCCTATCTCCGTCGTTCAAACTAATGGGCCAAAAATTCTGCTCTACTGGAGCTATCCAAAATGGCCGCGAGTGGTCCCGCCCACAAGAAAGATGTGAAAAAAACGCATCTGCTCCTCAGCATTGACACCAATGGGGGCGGGTCCCGGCTCAAAAGTGGCCAAAATGGCGTGCGCTGACATGCTGCAGTACCACCCCGGGCCGATGGGGGGGACCCAGAAGAAGAATTAGCCAATGCTAACATATAGCGTTGGCAGACCTCTCAAAAACGTCTTTACAGGATGGACCAAAAGTTGGCTCTTGGCCCAAAGCTCCGTTCCACATGTGTGTCAATGCTGAGGGGGGTGGACTTTTTTGGTCCACTCTAGTTTACTCGCGGGGAATTTTTGAAGTCTCTCGTTCAAATGAATGGAGCTGCGCCGGCTGACGCATGCGCAGATGCGTTTTTTCACAATTATCTTGTGGGCGGGACCACTCGCGGCCATCTTGGATTGCTCCATGAAAGCACTTTTCATGGCCAACTCCTATGAACGGCGGAGATAGGCGTGACTCTGCCCATTAACATATACAGTCTATGATTGACACACGTGTGGAACGGAGCTTTGGGCCAAGAGCCAACTTTGTGAAATGCAGTGAAAATGCATGTTATTTGTGAACCAAAGTAAAATGTTGTGAACAAATCAAACAGAACAAACCAAAACAGTTTTTTATTTTTCTTACTTAAGAAAGAGCCCTGTGAGTCATTATTTGACTTTTTGGGCAGAGAGTGGATTTTTAAAATATTTTTTTCCACATAGTGCCACTTTATTGCCAAACTCTTTTTGACTTATTGTATTGAGAAAGATGTGTTAGTCCGACTTTATTATTGGTTGTTTTATTACCTTCCCTGTGTGGAAGTTGTATATTTTTTTTATTATTCTACTGAAGGATTATAATTATACACTGCATTTTTATTAACAAGTGTCAGCTCTCAGATTCTTTTGAAATTATGTTTCTATCTGCTCCAGAGGCCGGGATATCAATCATTCTGTAGATGTTGAATTTCAGGAAAACCTCATGTTTTGGAGGTGGTTCTAAAATCGGCCATAGGTTTTACAAGTCTGTTTATCAGCTGTGTCAGGGTTAATTGACTTGGATTGAGTGGATTATCTGAGCGGATCTAAACTTTAGCATTAAAAAGAATGCTGTGATTACCAAACACCATGTCCTGGTACTCATCTGAGAACCTCACTGAAAAAGTTATGTGCACCCCTGATTATCATGTTATTATTGTGTTAATATTGTGTTGTTATTGTGTCCACAGTTCAGCCGCGGCGGAAGCTGGAGCCACAGACACCACAGACCTGGTAAACACAGCCTTCATCACGTTTCTCTCTGATAGCTCCCACTCACTGTGTGTTGTGTGTTGCTCAGTTGTGTGTTGTGTGCTGCTCAGGTGTCGGCTGGGATCCGGCTGGACGCTCCTCCACAGATGGAGGACGTCATGCTCCAGAACATTCTGAACCAGATCCCCAAACACTTACACCAACCAGAGTCCAGACTGGAGCTGGTCCAAGCCGAGGCCCAGGAGGAGTTCAGCGTCAGCGTCACCAAAGCTATTGGTGAAAAACACACACACACACACACACACACGCACACACGCACACGCACGCACACACACACACACACACACAAACACGCACACACACGCACACGCATACGCACGCACACACATACGCACGCACACACTACAGTTTTTCAGATCAACAAACCCCTGCCTTTGTTTGTCTCATGTGTCTTTGTTTTCTGCAGTGAACTTTGTGATCAGAGGTGTTCAGGACAGTGGCCCTGACAGAGACGCCCTGATGCCCTCCCACAGACAGGAGTGAGTCCACACCACAGACTGTGTGTGAGGAAAGGACTGACCGAGTGTGACATCACTATAGTCAGGCAGAAGAAGCTGATTTGAACATGAGCTAGCTGGAGCCAAAATCTTATATGGTCATTTGTTCTGCTGCGTTAGCTTCACACCATCACAGGGGCAGTGGATGACCACACACGTGTGAAAAAAGGCCTCACAGATTTACAAAAAGACAATTTCACAATAAAAACACCAGGATCACAGAATGATCTCTGTGATGACTCAAAATGATGAGTGTGACACAAACGGTTACTGAGCTAGAGGAGTTTACTGTAACATGTGAGTCAATAGGAGCCAGAGAGAGGAGCCAAACTCCACCATGAGCCCTTCCCTTTTGTTTCATTATGCTTGGTCTGCATTGTCTGTGTACATCTGTCTCATGGACCACTGACACATCACTGAGCTGTGTGACTCACCCTCCACAGAGTGGCGCTGGTGCCCAAGCCCTGGCACACAACCTTCGTCCAGAACAGGAGGTGGATCAGGGACAGTCTGCACTGCTTCTGTCCGCCCATGATGGAGGTGACGTGGCTGTTCCACCGGGGCCTCACGTGAGTCAAACTACTCAAAACAGTGGAAAGATGCTCAGTCTGCTTTTCACAAAGAGACACGTCCACAAGTCGACTTAGTGATGACGAACATTACAGCGATTGTGACACATTTATTCACATGACTTTATATTTTGGCTCCGACAAAAGCGTTTGTGTTTCACGGCAACACACTGTGTTGTGTTTTCACTGGGTACAATCCCACCTCCAGATGTGGCCTTGTTTCCACCTGCCCTTCTCCCCTCTTCTCTTCTCTGCTCCTCTCTACTCTACTCTCCCCTGATTTAATCGTTACTAGGTCCTTCTTTAGATAGACAGATACTTTATTGATCCCCGTAGGAGGAATTCAGGTGCCCCGCAGCAGAAGACTGGTCCCTCTTGGCCCTGGTTCTATCCAGGCCAAGCTGGTACTAAAGTGTTCTAACGCCATGGTTACCAAGGAATTTCCCTCGATACTAGTTTACTGGTTTTCTGGATAGTTTGCTAGGATACTGCTGGAGTAGAGTAGGGCTGGTGGAAATGGGGCTTAAGTAAGATCGACCCTCACAGAGAACGACTCACAAGTTAAAACTCCAACCAATACAAACACTCTGGATTTGGACAAATGCTTCTCCTCAGCTCATCCTCTCTGACCCTCACCTCTCTGACCCTCTCCTCTCTGACCCTCATCCTCTCTTACCCTCACCTCTCTGACCCTCTCCTCCCTGACCCTCATCCTCTCTGACCCTCTCCTCTCTGACCCTCACCTCTCTGACCCTCACCTCTCTGACCCTCTCCTCCCTGACCCTCACCTCTCTGACCCTCACCTCTCTGACCCTCTCCTCCCTGACCCTCATCCTCTCTGACCCTCTCCTCTCTGACCCTCTCCTCTCTGACCCTCTCCTCTCTGACCCTCATCCTCTCTGACCCTCACCTCTCTGACCCTCACCTCTCTGACCCTCTCCTCCCTGACCCTCATCCTCTCTGACCCTCTCCTCTCTGACCCTCACCTCTCTGACCCTCACCTCTCTGACCCTCTCCTCCCTGACCCTCATCCTCTCTGACCCTCTCCTCTCTGACCCTCTCCTCTCTGACACCTCACCTCTCTGACCCTCACTCTCTGACCCTCTCCTCCCTGACCCTCTCCTCTCTGACCCTCATCCTCTCTGACCCTCTCCTCTCTGACCCTCTCTGACCCTCTCTCTGACCCTCACCTCTCTGACCCTCACCTCTCTGACCCTCTCCTCCCTGACCCTCTCCTCTCTGACCCTCATCCTCTCTGACCCTCTCCTCTCTGACCCTCTCCTCTCTGACCCTCTCCTCTCTGACCCTCTCCTCCCTGACCCTCTCCTCTCTGACCCTCTCCTCTCTGCCCCTCTCCTCCCTGACCCTCTCCTCTCTGCCCCTCTCCTCCCTGACCCTCTCCTCTCTGACCCTCTCCTCTCTGACCCTCTCCTCTCTGACCCTCTCCTCTCTGACCCTCTCCTCCCTGACCCTCTCCTCTCTGACCCTCTCCTCTCTGCCCCTCAGGCTGAGGTCTCAGCGTCTGGTGTCAGTGACTGAGTTCCACCAGAGGAGACGGTCCCTGGAGCTGCAGGAGTTCTCACAGATCATTGAGCAGCACATGGAGCGCTTCACTACATTCCTCCTGCAAAGGTTTGTGCTGCTCTTTTTAGTCTTTAAGAAAAACTTTACCATGAGTACTTCCCCATTGGGCTTCATTCACATTCAAAATGCAGCCGCTCGAGTCCTGACTAGAACCAGGAAGTACAACCATATTAGTCCAGTCCTCAGGTCTCTGCACTGGCTTCCTGTGGCTCAGAGAATAGACTTTAAAACAGCTCTGCTTGTTACAAGTCTCTCCATGGCCTCGCACCAAAATATATTAGTGACATGTTAGTCCCATATGAACCAGCCCGGACTCTGAGGAGCACAGGGACTGGACTCCTGCTGGGACTCTGAGGAGCACAGGGACTGGACTCCTGCTGGGACTCTGAGGAGCACAGGGACTGGACTCCTGCTGGGACTCTGAGGAGCACAGGGGCGGGACTCCTGCTGGGACTCTGAGGAGCACAGGGGCGGGACTCCTGTTACTGCTAAACATGGGGAGGCTGCTTTTCAGATTCATGCTGCTAAAATCTGGAACAGTCTTCCTGAAGATGTGAGACAGGCCTCCTCTCTGACAATGTTCAAAACCAGGTTAAAAACAGTTCTGCTTAGCTGTGCGTTCAACTGAGGGATTTTATATTTTTATCTTTCTTTTTAATGTACTGTGATTCTTTTTATTTTAATTCTATCTTGTTTTGTTCAGCACTTTGAGTTGCCTTGTGGATGAATTGTGCTATACAAATAAACTTGCCTTGCCTTCACTGAGCTAGTGGGTTAGCATTGCCCATCTGCACACAGTCTATGTGTCTCCCTCTTTAGAAGTGTGTTTGATCAGTAGCAGTGGAGTAAATGCCAGTGGCTTGTGTAGCTCACTGTCCTTGTCAAACGCAGCTGGTTGCCTGAGGTCCAGTCCATCTTCTACCAAGGAGCCAGGAGGAAGCAGGTCCCCGATAACAGCGGCTCCTCCAGGTTCACGGCCTTCTTCAGCTGTGCGTCCGCTCTGATGACGCGACAGCTTCAGGAGGTGCTGCTGCTGTCTCTGGAGGACTACAGGCAGATGATCACAGGGCTCCCGGTGAGGCTCCAGGGTCAGCAGAACCTGGAGGACCTGGAGGAACCCAGTGTTGATGAGTGTGTGTCCTCCTCAGCCCTCACAGCGAGCCTTCGAGCACCCGGGCTTCGTGCTGCACCTGGTTCTGGTCAACAAGCAGATCCAGTTTGAGCCCGAGTTTGAACGCTTTGAGGAGGTTCTTCTTGACGTGTTGGACCTGATGCTGCAATCGGCCGCTGTGGTGCCCAGAGTGGAGACCAAGCTCTTCACCGGCTGTGTAAGAACCTCTGCCATTAACACACGTCACCAGGGTTTGGGTTAGGGGTTACACATAACACATAGGAGCCGTTGGTCCAGAGAGAGCGGGATGTTGAATGAACGTCCAGGATCATCACTGTCCTTAGACCCTCCTGCATCCGCAAGGAACCACCCAGAACTGAGGTTGTAGACCCAGGACTGAGGCTGTAGATCCAAGACTAAGGCTGTAGACCCAGGACTGAGGCTGTAGATCCAAGACTGAGGCTGTAGACCCAGGACTGAGGCTGTAGATCCAAGGCTGAGGCTGTAGACCCAGGACTGAGGCTGTAGATCCAAGGCTGAGGCTGTAGATCAAAGACTGAGGCTGTAGATCCAGGACTGAGGCTGTAGACCCAGGACTGAGGCTGTAGATCCAGGACTGAGGCTGTAGACCCAGGACTGAGGCTGTAGATCCAGGACTGAGGCTGTAGACCCAGGACTGAGGCTGTAGATCCAGGACTGAGGCAGTAGATCCAGGAGTGAGCCTGTAGATCCAGGACTGAGGCTTTAGACCCAGGACTGAGGCTGTAGACCCAAGACTGAGGCTGTAGATCCAGGATGAGGCTGTAGACCCAGGACTGAGGCTGTAGACCCAAGATTGAGGCTGTAGATCCAGGACTGAGGCTGTAGACCCAAGACTGAGGCTGTGGATGTCCTGTCCCTGATGCCTGAACTCAACTTGAACCCAGGGTGATGCCACATGAAGAAGCTCAGAGGTGGATCTTCTGCACATGTATTGTAGTGAGTGTGTTGTGTGCAGCTGGCGCCCCCTGCTGACCGCAGCACTCTGAGGCCTATGGTTCTGCCTGAGGTTCTGGAGGACCATCGTCAGCAGCTCCTCATGGTCCTGAGGGAGGAGAGCCTCAAACCTACACAGTACCTGCGACACTTTGACAAGTACGCGTCTCTGGTGACCATGAAGGCCCAGGACGACGTCAGCCACTTCCTGTCTGAGCCTCACAGCTTCAAGGAGATCATGGTGGAGGTGGTGCACTATGAGCAGCTGCTGGAGGAGCTACAGTACACGCCATACCAGGTGAGTAGGAGCTGTAGTACACGCTATACCAGGTGAGGCGGTCCTACCAGGTGAGGAGGAGCTGCTGGTGAGAAGGTCCTACCAGGTGAAGAGGAGCTGTAGTACACGCTATACCAGGTGAGGCGGTCCTACCAGGAGAGGAGGAGCTGCAGGTGAGGAAGTCCAACCAGGCAAGGAGGTCCTACTAGGTGAGGAGGAGAACCTGCATTACACACTCTACCAGGTAGGGAGGTCCTACGAGGTGAAGAGGACCTGGTGTGATCTCAGGTCATATGTGTCTGACCTCAGGTGGAGCGACTGGGCATGTTCGAGGTCCAGTCTCAGAGACTGATCCAGAGTCTGACTCAGAGAGCTCAGGATCTGCAGCAGCAACTGGTGACCAGGATGTTAGAGGAGCACCGTACCATCAACAGACAGTAAGAACTGACACACACATACACACAGCAACAAACATCTGGAACACACACACTCACACACAGACTGAGAACAAACACACACACTCACACACACACACACACACACAGACACTGAGAACACACACACACACACACAAAGCAACACACACAGAGCAGATCTGTTAGGCCTTCAACAGAGTGTGTTCTCTCGCCCGAGATAAAGCAGGAGGTTTCTTTGTGTGTTTGAACCAAACACAACCATAGATTACAGTTGTTCACCCTTTTAAGCTCACAGTCGGGGAGGGAGTCTCCTACGTTAGAACTCACAGTGGTGATGTCACATGTGTCTGAATGTCCTTCTTACATCTGTTCAGACTGTGTGCAGAGTTTGAGTACATCGAAAAGAAGTCCCTGAACACTCCGCAGGACACTCAGGCGCTGATGGAGCTCAAGGTGACGCACTTTCATACCTCTGCTGTGGTTCAGTTACTGTCGCATCATTCTTCATTGTCATGAGCTTTTCACACAGTGCATGTGCTCTTTAATACAGACTGTGGTTTGGTCTCTGGTCCTCAGGCCTACGTGCAGAAGGTCCGCTCCTCTGATCTGCCGGAGCTGGAGCAGCGTCTGATGGACTCAAACTCACAGCTGTGTTTCCTCTCGGACTTCGTGACGCTGTCTCCGCTCGACGTGAGACTGAATGCAGAGACGCTGGAGTGGCCCGAGCGCATGCCCTCAGTGTTCAGACAACACAGAGAGATCGTCAAGAAGAAGACCGAGCTGTACCAGAGCGCGCTGAAGGTAGTGTACACCAGAGTTCAAACAGCACTGAGCCTGTAGACCCAGGACTGAGGCTGTAGACCCAGGACTGAGGCTGTAGACCCAGGACTGAGGCTGTAGACCCAGGACTGAGGCTGTAGATCCAGGACTGAGGCTGTAGACCCAGGACTGAGGCTGTAGACCCAGGACTGAGGCTGTAGACCCAGGACTGAGGCTGTAGACCCAGGACTGAGGCTGTAGATCCAGGACTGAGGCTGTAGACCCAGGACTGAGGCTGTAGATCCAGGACTGAGGTTGTAGATCCAGGACTGAGGCTGTAGACCCAGGACTGAGGCTGTAGATCCAGAACTGAAGCCGTAGACCCAGGACTGAGGCCGTAGACCCAGGACTGAGCCTGTAGACCCAGGACTGAGGCTGTAGACCCAGGACTGAGGCTGTAGATCCAGGACTGAGGCTGTAGACCCAGGACTGAGGCTGTAGACCCAGGACTGAGGCTGTAGACCCAGGACTGAGGCTGTAGACCCAGGACTGAGGCTGTAGACCCAGGACTGAGGCTGTAGACCCAGGACTGAGGCTGTAGACCCAGGACTGAGGCTGTAGACCCAGGACTGAGGCTGTAGATTCAGGACTGAGGCTGTAGACCCAGGACTGAGGCTGTAGATCCAGGACTGAGGCCGTAGATCCAGAACTGAGGCCGTAGACCCAGGACTGAGCCTGTAGACCCAGGACTGAGGCTGTAGACCCAGGACTGAGGCTGTAGATCCAGGACTGAGGCTGTAGACCCAGGACTGAGGCTGTAGATTCAGGACTGAGGCTGTAGACCCAGGACTGAGGCTGTAGATCCAGGACTGAGGCCGTAGATCCAGAACTGAGGCCGTAGACCCAGGACTGAGCCTGTAGACCCAGGACTGAGGCTGTAGACCCAGGACTGAGGCTGTAGATCCAGGACTGAGGCTGTAGACCCAGGACTGAGGCTGTAGATCCAGGACTGAGGCTGTAGATCCAGGACTGAGGCCGTAGACCCAGGACTGAGGCTGTAGACCTAGGACTGAGACTGTAGACCCAGGACTGAGCCTGTAGACCCAGGACTGAGGCTGTAGACCCAGGACTGAGGCTGTAGACCCAGGACTGAGACTGTAGACCCAGGACTGAGGCTGTAGACCCAGGACTGAGGCTGTAGACCCAGGACTGATCGAGATCGAGCTGTACCAGTGCAACCCCAGGACTGACCGGGTGTGACGATACTGTCCACTCATAAACTCTCTGGAGTTATGGTTTGCTTCACCAACGCATGTTACAGTAATGCTCTGTTCACACTCCTGCAGAATCTGCCACAACTGTGATGTCATAGATAGAACTGTGTGTATTCTCTGATATTGTGGCTCTTGATCCTCGGTTTCTCTGAGCTGCTCGTCTCTGTCTCAGAGCTGCTGTGAGCGCTTTGTGGAAGACCTGGAGAGTTACGGCGCTCAGGTGGAGGAGTTCGTCACTTTTGGAGATCTGGACGAACTGGAGAAATACCTGAAGAAAGCCCAAAGTCTGAACCACAAACTGGAGCTGGCTCTGGAGAAGGTACCGCTGCTTTGGGGAAACAGAAGGACTGAAGGAGAGGGGGCTGCCTCACGTGTCTCCTGTTTTTACAAATACCCGACTGTCTGGACTATTATGCAGCTTTATATAAGTCGCACCAGCAACATTTGAAACAACTGTCAATTTAGTCCAAATATAAGGTGCAGGTTTTCATGTTGTAATGTAGCAGAAAGACGACTGTTTTAACTGGACACAACATGATTTAATGGCGAGGTGTTTGACCGATAAACCGTGACCTTCCATGACTCATTCACCTTCATTTATTTTGTCCAGTAGCTACTCAAACTTGATGGAGTCCAAATAAGAGTCCATAAACTCTTCTCTTCCAACAGAACAGAAATACTCTCATCAGCCACGTCACTATATAGGTCCCAGGGCTCAAACAATTAGAAAAAGTAGCGGCTTATACTCTATGGTACTTTGGATTGATTTAAAGACATGAGAACTGGCTCCAGCATCCTTAGTATTGACTCTATGACACTAGATGCAGACAGATCACAGTGACCGTCAGAGCTGAGTGGAACAGTCAGAGAACAACGAACACAAATGACCTCAGACTGTTACTCGCTGTTACTCACAGACTTTTATGTGTTTGGTCTTTAGATTGAGGAGTTTAACCGTAAGGAGGAAGCGTTCGGCTGGCCCGTCTCTCAGTATCCTCAGAGGAAGAAGATCCAGGACAAACTCACTCCGTTCCTGAGACTTTATGAGACGGCTTCAGACTTCCTGATGCAGCACGAGCGGTGGCTGCACGGCCCCATGGCGGCGGTGAACCCAGACAAGGTCAGTCCTGTTTCCAATGGATTCATGTATCACCCTGGATTCAATTCAATTTAATTTATTCTTGTATTGTCATGAATCACAACACTAAACTCTAAAACCCAGTGGGAAAAAAAACAAATCACAAGAGCAGTCGTCTCAGAGGACTTTACAAAGTTGTGGATTCACCAACAAAAGATCAAAGAATCAAACGGTTCTGAGCCCATAGGGAGCGGGATGATTACTGTCCACAAAAGTGCACGAATGAGACTGTAGACCCAGGACTGAGGCTGTAGACCCAGGACTGAGGCTGTAGACCCAGGACTGAGGCTGTAGACCCAGGACTGAGGCTGTAGACCCAGGACTGAGGCTGTAGATCCAGGACTGAGGCTGTAGACCCAGGACTGAGGCTGTAGACCCAGGACTCAGGCTGTAAACACAGGACTCAGGCTGTAGACCCAGGACTGAGCCTGTAGACCCAGGACTGAGGCTGTAGATCTAGGACTGAGGCTGTAGACCCAGGACTGAGGCTGTAGACCCAGGACTGAGGCTGTAGACCCAGGACTGAGGCTGTAGATTAGTCTAGTGTAGTCAGACAGATATGCTATATCTACACAACTCATTTCCATCTGCAGTTCCTGGGTACAGGGAAAACATTACAATAACATAAAATCAAATAGGAATTTACAACAGCTTTTAATGGCATAAAGATAAAGTTTTCTGAAAGTCTTGCTATGAATATGAAATACATGTTAATTAAATGTATTCAAACCAGGACATCGCATGGAGATTCAATGATATGTTTGAGAGGAAAGTCATCACCAACATTACATTTAAAGAACCCCTCCAGCAGCAGCTGGATCCTTGGACATACAGCTGGTTATGAAATCTAATGCTGCGTGTTTGTTTTAACGTCTGTGCTTCTGTTTGTGTTCAGGTGGAGGGCGATGTGGGGAACTACTGGAGGACTCTGTACAAACTGGAGAAGAGCTTTGGAGACTGTCCCAAAGCTCTGCACATGGCCTCCTCCGTGAAGGCCACAGTGGAGGAGTTCAAGGAGCACATCCCCATGGTCCAGGTCTGTCTGTGTATGTGTGTGTGTGTGTGTGTGTGTGTGTGTGTGTGTGTGTGTGTGTGTGTGTGTGTATCATTGGCGTTGTGCATTAGATGATTATATACCATTGTGTATTGTGTGCCAGGTGGTGTGTAACCCTGGCCTCCGCCCTCGTCACTGGACCTCCATGTCCGATGCAGCTGGTCTCCTCCTGGACCCCTCCAGTCCCCAGGCCAGCGTCTCACACTTCCTGTCCCTGGGCCTGGAGCCGTTCCTGGGGACCTTCGAGGGCATCAGTGAAGCAGCGGCCAAAGAGTTCAGTCTGGAGAAGGCTCTGGAGAAGATGTCCTCTGAGTGGGCATACATGGAGGTGACCCTGCTGGCCTACAGGGAGACCGGCACCAGCATCCTGTCCTCTGTGGAGGACATCCAGATGTTACTGGACGACCACATCGTCAAGACTCAGACCATGAGAGGATCGCCCTTCATCAAGCCCTTTGAGGAGGAGATCAGGTGAGGAGGTGCAGAGACACAGACCAGGAGGAGATCAGGTGAGGAGGTGCAGAGACACAGACCAGGAGGAGATCAGGTAAGGAGGTGCAGAGACACGGACCAGGAGGAGATCAGGTGAGAAGGTGCAGAGACACAGACCATGAGGAGATCAGGTGAGGAGGTGCAGAGACACAGACCAGAAGGAGATCAGGTGAGGAGGTTCAGAGACACAGACCATGAGGAGATCAGGTGAGGAGGTGCAGAGACACAGACCAGAAGGAGATCAGGTGAGGAGGTTCAGAGACACAGACCATGAGGAGATCAGGTAAGGAGGTGCAGAGACACAGACCAGGAGGAGATCACCTTTGAGTCCACGTGGCTTTACTTGTACCATGTGTCCTCCTCAGGGAGTGGGAGGGGAAGCTGCTCCTCCTGCAGGAGATCCTGGACGAGTGGTTGAAGGTTCAGTCCACGTGGCTGTACCTGGAGCCCATCTTCAGCTCCCCTGACATCATGATGCAGATGCCGGAGGAGGGACGCCGCTTCACTGCTGTGGACAAGACCTGGAGGGACACCATGAAGCAAGTGGCCCTGGTAACACACACACAGACACACACACGCACACACACAAACACACACAGAGATGCAGAGAGACACACACACACACACAGAGATAAACACACACACACAGACACATACACACACACAGAGATGCAGAGAGACACACACACAGAGACACACAGAAATAAACACACACACACACAGACACATACACACACACACACAGACACACACACACACAGAGATAAACACACACACAGACACACACACACACACACACACACACACAGAGATGCAGAGAGACACACACACAGAGACACACAGAAATAAACACACATACACACACACAGACACACACACAGACAGAGAGATACACACACACACAAAGAGATGCAGAGAGACACACACGGAGACATAGACACAGAAACACACGCACATATACACATTCTATAGCCCTATAAGACTGTATCTGGTAATGTAATCTGGCTTGATGGTTATTTGCCTCAGAATTCCTCCTTGTGCTAGCTAAATAAATGTGCAGTCACATGTTAGTGTTATTGTGGAGCACTGAATTATGGTCTAAAAATACATGCAGCCTCTTCGTCCTCTGTGCATCAGCCTCTTCATCCTCAGGCTTCATCCTCAGGCCTCCTCCTCATCCTCGGCTCATACCTGTACTGTATACTTCTCTGTATGGAGGGTGCAGTCCCGCCTCTGTCCACTGGGAGCTGCTCTCGTTCCACCTCCCTCTCTCCTCTTTGTTCTGTTGTTGTTTGCTCTTCAGACGTTTCCCGCTGTGAACTCTGCCTTACAAACACACAAACTGCGCCCGTCACACACTCCTGTTATAACAGCGTGATGTTTGAGTCGCTGTCACTCAAATGTGAGGCGTCTGTCTCCCACGACGACAGCTCTTCATCAGTATTCTCCTCAGAAATGTCACCTGGAACACATGCAGACGACGGCTCTTCAGTACAATCACATTAAAGAACATGAATAAAGCTTTGTCTTCATCTGTCCATGACGTCACTGGGGATCTGTCACCGTGGAACCAGTTTGAATACACAGCGTTTACACAGAAGGGGCGGGGGTTTAGTCTGATGAGAAGGCAAAGATTAGCAGCCGCTATTTTGTCAGTCTGCCCCAGGACAATTGTGGCTACAGTAGCACTTCACCATCACTGTGTATGGAGTAAGCACAAAATTAAACCAATGTATAAACAAGACACCTGCAGGACTGTGCATGTCTTCGATTTAAGTAGTTTCAGATAATCTCTCTCTCTAATCCAGGAAACACTTGTGATCATCTCTCTCTCTAATCCAGGAAACACATGTGATCCTCTTTCTCTCGAATCCAGGACACACATGTGATAATCTCTCTCTCTAATCCAGGAAACACATGTGATAATCTTGCTCTCTAATCCAGGAAACACCGGTGATCATCTCTCTCTCTAATCCAGGAAACACATGTGATAATCTCTCTCTCTAATCCAGGACACACATGTGATAATATCTCTCTCTAATCCAGGACACATGTGATAATCTCTCTCTCTAATCCAGGACACACATGTGATAATCTCTCTCTCTCTAATCCTGGACACACATGTGATAATCTCTCTCTCCAATCCAGGACACGCATGTGATAATATCTCTCTCTAATCCAGGACACGCATGTGATAATATCTCTCTCTAATCCAGGACACACATGTGATCCTCTTTCTCTCTCTAATCCAGAACATGCATGTGATCATCTTTCTCTAATCCAGGACATGCATGTGATCATCTTTCTCTCTAATCCAGGACATGCACGTGATCATCTTTCTCTCTAATCCAGGACACACATGTGATAATCTCTTTCTCTAATCTAGGACAAACACGTTCTTGCTGTGATCTCCATCAACAAGATGCTGGAGAAGCTGAAGAAGTCCAACAGTTTCCTGGAGCTGATCCTCAAAGGTCTGAACAACTACCTGGAGAAGAAGCGCCTGTATTTCCCACGATTCTTCTTCTTGTCCAACGAGGAGCTGCTGGAGATCCTGTCAGAGACCAAAGACCCCACACGGTAACAGCTCTACAGCGCCCCCTGTGGTCCCTATCTCATATTCTGAACATTGTTCAATCTCATATTGATTTATAACTATGTTAAAAAAGCTCTCTCTTCTGAATCACTCCCTGCGTATCGCTCTGAGCTCTGCCCCTTTACTAATCATACAGTAAACATACTCAAATCACTGCCCAGACCGCCAATCAAATTAGTGATCAGTGGATATCCCCCCTTTGAATAACACTGCTGAATCATCTGCATGTCACTGAATAAGAATAGGAAATCATATATTTTTTGGCAAAGTATTTCATTCCTAAACATACATTTTCAGGCCAGAACAATTACAATGTTATTTTATACATATAGAACGTTATCATATTCAAGAAGTGAGAACATCTGTGGAACTGTGGCATTCATGCTTTAATCTACTGTCTACAAATACATTTAGACAGGGCATTTTGGCTCTAATGAACGAGACCATGGAGCTTTGGACAGGGCATTTTGGCTCTAATGAATGAGACCATGGAGCTGTGGACAGGGCATTTTGGCTCTAATGAATGAGACCATGGAGCTGTGCACAGGGCATTTTGGCTCTGATGAAGGAGACCATGGAGCTGTGGACAGGGCATTTTGGCTCTAATGAACGAGACCATGGAGCTGTGCACAGGGCATTTTGGCTCTAATGAACGAGACCATGGAGCTGTGCACAGGGCATTTTGGCTCTAATGAACGAGACCATGGAGCTGTGGACAGGGTATTTTGGCTCTGATGGAGACCATGGAGCTGTGGACAGGGCATTTTGGCTCTGATGAAGGAGACCATGGAGCTGTGGACAGGGCATTTTGGCTCTGATGAAGGAGACCATGGAGCTGTGCACAAGGCATTTTGGCTCTGCTGAAGGAGACCATGGAGCTGTGGGCAGGGCATTTTGGCTCTGATGAAGGAGACCATGGTGCTGTGCACAGGGCATTTTGGCTCTGATGAACAGGATATGTATTATATCATGACACCGCTCAGAGGAGTCCACAGGGGGCAGTGTTGCCGCAGTAAAGAGGGAATAAGGAAAGTCACATTATTCTCCTGCAGAGAGATGTCTTTTGTGAAAATGAGACAAATATAAAGTGCTACTACTACTACTGCTACTACTACTGCTACTACTGCTACTACTACTGCTGCTACTGCTGCTACTGCTGCTACTACTACTACTACTGCTACTACTGCTACTACTACTGCTGCTACTGCTGCTACTGCTGCTGCTTCTACTGCTACTACTGCTGCTCCTACTGCTACTGCTTCTACTACTACTGCTGCTACTGCTTCTACTACTACTGCTGCTACTGCTGCTACTGCTTCTACTACTACTGCTGCTACTGCTGCTGCTGCTTCTACTACTACTGCTGCTGCTTCTACTACTACTACTGCTGATACTACTACTGCCGCTAATACTACTGCTGCTGCTACTGCTTCTACTACTACTGCTGCTACTGCTTCTACTACTACTACTGCTGATACTACTACTGCCGCTGCTTCTACTACTACTACTGCTGATACTACTACTGCCGCTGCTTCTACTACTACAGCTGCTGCTTCTACTACTACTGCTGCTACTGCTTCTACTACTACTACTACTGCTGCTGCTTCTACTACTACTGCTGCTGCTTCTACTACTACTGCTGCTGCTTCTACTACTACTACTGCTGATACTACTACTACTGCTGCTGCTTCTACTACTACTGCTGCTGCTTCTACTACTACTACTGCTGATACTACTACTGCTGCTGCTGCTTCTACTACTACTACTACTGCCGCTGCTTCTACTACTACTGCTGCTACTGCTTCTACTACTACTACTACTGCTGATACTACTACTGCTGCTGCTGCTTCTACTACTACTACTACTGCCGCTGCTTCTACTACTACTGCTGCTACTGCTTCTACTACTACTACTGCTACTGCTGCTGTTACCACTACACCTCCTCTCCTCAGAGCCTCCTTGAGCAGGAGTAACTCCCAAACACAATGGGGAATGAGAAACCTCAAGGAGAAGTCACAGCATAATGTATGAGCAAATATCTCTCTAGTCTCTACCTCTGGTCTCTCTCTCTGGTCTCTGGTCTCTCTCTGTTCTCTGGTCTCTCTCTCTGGTCTCTGGTCTCTCTCTGTTCTCTGGTCTCTCTCTCTGGTCTCTGGTCTCTCTCTCTGTTCTCTGGTCTCTCTCTCTCTGGTCTCTCTCTGTTCTCTGGTCTCTCTCTCTGTTCTCTGGTCTCTCTTTCTGGTCACTGTGTTCTACAGTATACAGTGTGTATGTGAGAGATTTTATTAAAATCACTGTAACAAAGTGTGAGTGCTAAGACCTCACAGTTGGACAGGACCTTGCAGTTGGACTGGACCTCACAGTTGGACAGGACCTTGCAGTTGGACTGGACCTCACAGTTGGACAGGACCTTGCAGTTGGACTGGACCTCACAGTTGGACAGGACCTTGCAGTTGGACTGGACCTCACAGTTGGACAGGACCTTGCAGTTGGACTGGACCTCACAGTTGGACAGGACCTTGCAGTTGGACTGGACCTCACAGTTGGACAGGACCTTGCAGTTGGACTGGACCTCACAGTTGGACAGGACCTTGCAGTTGGACTGGACCTCACAGTTGGACTAGACCTGATAGTGAGACTGGACCTCACAGTTGAACTGGACCTCACAGTCGGACTGAACCTCACATTTGGACTGGACCTCACAGTTGGACAGGACCTTGCAGTTGGACTGGACCTCACAGTTGGACTAGACCTGATAGTGAGACTGGACCTCACAGTTGGACTAGACCTGATAGTGAGAATGGACCTCACAGTTGAACTGGACCTCACAGTTGGACTGAACCTCACATTTGGACTGGACCTCACAGTTGGACTGGACCTCACAGTTGGACTGGACCTGACAGTTGAACTGGACCTCACAGTCGGACTGAACCTCACATTTGGACTGGACCTCACAGTTGGACAGGACCTTGCAGTTGGACTGGACCTCACAGTTGGACTAGACCTGATAGTGAGACTGCACCTCACAGTTGGACTAGACCTGATAGTGAGAATGGACCTCACAGTTGAACTGGACCTCACAGTCGGACTGAACCTCACATTTGGACTGGACCTCACAGTTGGACTGGACCTCACAGTTGGACTGGACCTGACAGTTGGACTGGACCTCACAGTTGGACTAGACCTGATAGTGAGACTGGACCTCACAGTTGAACTGGACCTCACAGTCGGACTGAACCTCACATTTGGACTGGACCTCCCAGTTGGACTGGACCTGACAGTCGAACTGGACCTGCATGCGTCAGCTGCACGAGCCCCATTCATTTAAACAAGTACCTTCAAAAAATTGACTAAACTAGACTGGTCCAGAACACTCCCTCAGCATTGACACACATGTGGAACGGAGCTTTGGGCCAAGAGAAAACTTTTGGACCATCCTGTAAAGGTGTTTTCGAGAGGTCTGCTAATGCTATGTGTTAGCATTGAATAATTCTCATTCCGGGTCCACCCCCATCGGCCCGGGGTGGTATTGCAGCATGTCAGCGCACATCATTTTTTGAGCCGGGACCCGCCCACACTGGTTGTGAATGTGCTCTTGGCCCTGTATAAACTCCTCCTCTTCCTCAGGGTTCAGCCACATCTGAAGAAGTGCTTTGAGGGCATCGCCAGCGTGGTCTTCACAGATGTTCTGGACATCACTCACATGAAGAGCTCAGAGGGGGAGATGGTGCAGCTGCTCAACATCATCTCCACCTCCAAAGCTCGAGGGCAGGTGGAGAAGTGGCTCCTGGAGCTGGAGCACGGCATGACGGCCTCTCTGCACAAGGTGCTACACACACACACACACACACACACACTCACTCACTCACTCACTCACTCACTCACTCACTCACTCACTCACTCACTCACTCACTCACTCACTCACCCACTCATCCACTCATCCACTCATCCACTCATCCACTCATCCACTCATCCACTCATCCACTCATCCACTCATCCACTCATCCAAATCATACAAATCATACAAATCTATCATATTTAGAATGATACATTTGATTTTTTATTTTTGCTGCTACAGGACACCAGAATTTCTTCTACGGGGATCAATAATGTATTTATCTATCTACACAAACACAGGTCTCTTTTTTTGGTCTCTCTCACTGATCTCTCACTGTGGTCTCTCCGTGGTCTCTCTCTGGTCCCTCTCTGGTCTGTCTCTGGTCTCTCCCTGGTCTCCCTCTGGTCTCTCCCTGGTCCCCTCTGGTCTCTCCCTGGTCTCCCTCTGGTCTCTCCCTGGTGTCCCTGGTCCCCTCTGGTAATAGAAATGCTATTAGCAGCAACAGTGGTAATGTCTGGAGGTCCTCACTTCTCTTTGGGTCAAACTCACTCAGATATTATTGAGCAGTGAAAGGCTTCAGCTCGTGCTGATCTGTGGCTGCAGTAATGATGCAGAGAGCAGAGAGCTCTGGGCAGCACCATGGGGCACAAACCAATGTCTTATTTATCCAGGATAAATGCTTTCTGAATAATGTATGACTCCAAAAGGTGAACTGGTGTTTTCTAAATAACAAGCCCACAGCGGTATCCCATCTCTGAGCCGCCTGCAAAACACACTTTATACACACACACTTTTACAGCTTTAAGTCAATTATATTTCTCCACAAAGTCTTAGTGGGAGCATAATTGGAACAGAAATAAGGTGATTCTGCGGAAGCTTTGGAGATTATGGTAAAAACGAGTCTCTGCAGAAGAATAAAGAGTTAAATACAGATATGTTGAATGAATAATGAGTCCAGCAGAATCCAGGACAACACAAAGAGCCACAAAACCTGCTCCAGGAAGTGTCCCTGCTTTTCAGAGCTCCTCTCTCTGGCTCCTACTGACTTCCATGGAAAAGTAAACTCCATTCGCTCAGTAACGTTTGTGACACACTCACCATTTGGGCTTAATCCTGGTCTTTCTGATCCTGATGTTTATGTGACCAATCGACCAATTTCATTTGTGGTCAAATCTCCATCTTGCTTTACCAACCGTCTTAGCAACACTTCTGCCCCTGTTACGGCGTAAGGCTAACGCCACAAAGCAAATTCCCATATAAGGAAACTGGCTCCAGCTATCTTTTGTTCAAATGGACCACTACTGCATTAAGACACTACTGCAGTTGAGGAAGATTCAGCTTGTCTTCTTAGTGGAATTAAAAGTATTGGGTTTTTCTTTACCAGACAATATCAAGTATTACAAGGTAATGACGTCACAAAACCTTATATTGTTCGGTTATAGATGAACCCGATGCTTTTAAGACACTGTTGTGATGTCACACTCTCTCATGATGATGTCATGTTCTTCAGGTGATCGGAGAAGCCATCGAGGCTTATCCCAAAGACCAGAGGATCAACTGGGTCAGGGCCTGGCCTGGACAGACGGTCCTGTGTGTGACCCAGGTCTACTGGACCCAGAGCATCCACCAGGCCATCCAGTCAGGTCATCAGGTAATGAGTCAGGTCTTCAGTTATTGAGTCTGGTCATCAGGTAATGAGTCTGGTCATCAGTTATTGAGTCAGGTCATCAGGTAATGAGTCTGGTCATCAGTTATTGAGTCAGGTCATCAGGTAATGAGTCAGGTCATCAGTTATTGAGTCAGGTCATCAGGTAATGAGTCAGGTCATCAGGTAATGAGTCTGGTCATCAGTTATTGAGTCTGGTCATCAGGTAATGAGTCAGGTCATCAGGTAATGAGTCAGGTCATCAGGTAATGAGTCTGGTCATCAGTTATTGAGTCTGGTCATCAGGTAATGAGTCTGGTCATCAGTCTCTCTCTGTGTGTTAAGTCTCTCTCTCTGTGTGTTTGGTCTCTCTCTCTGTGTGTTTGGTCTCTCTCTCTGTGTGTTAAGTCTCTCTCTCTCTGTGTTAAGTCTCTCTCTCTCTGTGTTTGGTCTCTCTCTCTGTGTGTTTGGTCTCTCTCTCTGTGTGTTTGGTCTCTCTCTCTCTGTGTTAAGTCTCTCTCTCTGTGTGTTAAGTCTCTCTCTCTGTGTGTTAAGTCTCTCTCTCTGTGTGTTTGGTCTCTCTCTCTCTGTGTTAAGTCTCTCTCTCTCTGTGTTAAGTCTCTCTCTCTGTGTGTTTGGTGTCTCTCTCTCTGTGTGTTTGGTCTCTCTCTCTGTGTGTGTGTTAGGTCTCTCTCTGAGTTGGGTTTCGTTCTCCGTGTTTGGTCTCTCTCTCTCTCTCTCTATGTGTTAGGTCTCTTTCTGTGTGTTGGGTTTCTCTCTCTGTGTGTTGGGTTTATCTCTCTGTGTGTTAGGTTTCTCTCTCTGTGTTGAGTTTCTCTCTCTGTGTTACAATACAATGTAATCTTGTATTTCCCTAAATCACAACAGCATCATCTCAGAGACTTAACAAAACCATTGAAATCCCCACAGATCAGAAAATCAACAGTTAACACACATAAAAAATATAGAACACATGTTGATAAATGTCATACATGTGATAAATGTCACACATGTGATAAATGTCATACATGTGATAAATATCACACATGTGATAAATGTCACACATGTGATAAATGTCACACATGTGATAAATGTCACACATGTGATAAATGTCACACATGTTGATAAATGTCATACATGTGATAAATGTCACACATGTGATAAATGTCACACATGTTGATAAATGTCATACATGTGATAAATGTCACACATGTGATAAATGTCACACATGTGATAAATGCCATACATGTGATAAATGTCATACATGTGATAAATGTCACACATGTGATAAATGTCACACATGTTGATAAATGTCATACATGTGATAAATGTCATACATGTGATAAATGTCACACATGTGATAAATGTCACACATGTTGATAAATGTCATACATGTGATAAATGTCACACATGTGATAAATGTCATACATGTGATAAATGTCATACATGTGATAAATGTCACACATGTGATAAATGTCACACATGTTGATAAATGTCATACATGTGATAAATGTCACACATGTGATAAATGTCACACATGTGATAAATGTCATACATGTGATAAATGTCATACATGTTGATAATTGTCACACATGTGATAAATGTCATACATGTTGATAAATGTCATACATGTTGATAAATGTCACACATGTTGATAAATGTCACACATGTTGATAAATGTCACATGTGATAAATGGCACACATGTGATAAATGTCACACATGTTGATAAATGTCACACATGTGATAAATGTCACACATGTGATAAATGTCATACATGTTGATAAATGTCATACATGTTGATAAATGTCACACATGTGATAAATGTCACACATGTGATAAATGTCACACATGTTGATAAATGTCACACATGTGATAAATGTCATACATGTTGATAAATGTCATACATGTGATAAATGTCATACATGTTGATAAATGTCATACATGTGATAAATGTCATACATGTGATAAATGTCACATGTGATAAATGGCACACATGTGATAAATGGCACACATGTGATAAATGTCATACATGTTGATAAATGTCAAACATGTTGATAAATGTCACACATGTTGATAAATGTCATACAATGTGATAAATGTCACACATGTGATACATGTCATACATGTAGAATGTTAAAGTGTCCTGGATCATCACAGTCCTTCTAGTTGGACACTGTCTCCAACAGACTCCTGCATCAGAGGAACAACTCATAAGAAAACCCAGTGGGAAAAAGTGAGAAACCCTCAGGGAGACCCATAGTTTGAGAAAGGGATCCGCTCCCACGGACGGACGGGCTATAGATCCAGGACTCAGACTGTAGAACGAGGACTTAGGCTGTAGATCCAGGACTCAGACTGTAGAACGAGGACTTAGGCTGTAGATCCAGGACTCAGACTGTAGAACGAGGACTTAGGCTGTAGATCCAGGACTCAGACTGTAGAACGAGGACCGAGGCTGTAGATCCAGGACTCAGACTGTAGAACGAGGACTTAGGCTGTAGATCCAGGACTCAGACTGTAGAACGAGGACCGAGGCTGTAGATCCAGGACTCAGACTGTAGAACGAGGACTTAGGCTGTAGATCCAGGACTCAGACTGTAGAACGAGGACTTAGGCTGTAGATCCAGGATCTAAGCTACAGAACGTGAACCAGTGGCCGCTGAACGTGGACAGGTCCGGTGCAGGACTGAAGAACTCCCAGGCGGGTCGGGCAGGGCAGTCCGCAGGTGTAGATGGAGGAGGCCAGGTCCGGGGGGCCCGTCATCGTACCATGAAACAGACAATGGGACAACGGGTGAATAGCAATGAACAAACTACAGTCAAAATCCTAATAATGCTAAACAGACAAAGTACTTCTCACAGCAAACTGACTCCCTATGCAGCTTGACTGACAGTCTAAGGAGTTTTAGCTTTCCCTGAGTCTTACCTTCCTAGCCATAACTAAAGAGGATGTTGGGTCTCTCTCTCTGTGTTGGGTTTCTCTCTCTGAGTTTGGTTCTCTCTCTGTGTTGGGTTTCTCTCTCTGAGTTGGGTTTCTTTCTCTGTGTTGAGTTTCTCTCTCTGAGTTGGGTCTCTCTCTCTGTGTTGGGTTTCTCTCTCTGAGTTGGGTTCTCTCTCTGTGTTGGGTTTCTTTCTCTGAGTTTGGTTCTCTCTCTGTGTTGGGTTTCTCTCTCTGAGTTGGGTTTCTTTCTCTGTGTTGGGTTTCTCTCTCTGAGTTGGGTTCTCTCTCTGTGTTGGGTTTCTCTCTCTGTGTGCGACCTGGTTTGGTGCTCGTTACATAATCCGCCCGGCGGCCGCAGCGTTCGTCTTCATTACCGTTGCTGCTGCTCTGAATAAAACTATTTTACTCCGCTCTGCCGTAACCATGGCGACCACATCCTCCACTCGCATCCCCCTTTCCCTGTTCCCATGGCAACTGCCTCTCTACCCGTCTCCCAGGCGCTGTACCCCCGACACACACACACACACACACACACACTGAGACAAGTTTGACTGGTCCAGTGAAAAGGAACCACCTGAACAGTCACTAACATTGAGAAGACAAGTTTCAAAGTAACTCATATTTAAATGAATAGTTTGAATAGTTTCACTGTTTCTGACTGAAGGAAAATCAACATCATTATAGTGGAATGTGACAAAAGGCCTTTGAACGTTCTGAACCGTAGAACTCTCTCTCTAGTCTCTCTCTGGTTTCTCTCTCAGTGGTCTCTTTGTGGCTTCTCTCTCTCTGGTTTCTCTCTCAGTGGTCTCTTTGTGGCTTCTCTCTCTCTGGTTTCTCTCTTTGTGGCTTCTCTCTCTCTGGTTTCTCTCTCAGTGGTCTCTTTGTGGCTTCTCTCTCTCTGGTTTCTCTCTCAGTGGTCTCTTTGTGGCTTCTCTCTCTCTGGTTTCTCTCTTTGTGGCTTCTCTCTCTCTGGTTTCTCTCTTTGTAGCTTCTCTCGCTAAGGTTTCCCTCTCTTTGTGGTGTCTTTGTAGCTTCTCTCTCTGGTTTCTCTCTCAGTGGTCTCTTTGTGGCTTCTCTCTCTCTGGTTTCTCTCTCAGTGGTCTCTTTGTGGCTTCTCTCTCTCTGGTTTCTCTCTCAGTGGTCTCTTTGTGGCTTCTCTCTCTCTGGTTTCTCTCTCAGTGGTCTCTTTGTGGCTTCTCTCTCTCTGGTTTCTCTCTTTGTGGCTTCTCTCTCTCTGGTTTCTCTCTTTGTAGCTTCTCTCGCTCAGGTTTCCCTCTCTTTGTGGTGTCTTTGTAGCTTCTCTCTCTGGTTTCTCTCTCAGTGGTCTCTTTGTGTAAGTAAGTAAGTAAGTAAGTTTTTATTTATATACCGCCTTTTCACTGCAGATCTGAGTCTCAAAGCGGTTTACAATTGTTAATTTTGGGCATTTGTATCTCACTCCACACAGAGATGGGAGCGGGGTCGCCAGTACAGGAAGCGCATGCCAGAACTATTGGACATATTTTTTTTAGTGGTAGGGGAAACCGGAGTACCCGGAGGAAACCTACGCAGACACGGGGAGAACATGCAAACTCCAGACCAAAAGCATAAACATCTGGAACTGAGACTTTAATTGAGACTCGGACTGAGGTCAATGGTACGAGATCCCGAGTTTGTGTCAATGTGACGCATGTCAGATTGTGATTGGATGAAAGAGCAGAGACAAAGAGAGATGCGCTCTCTCTGGTCTCTTTCTCTGGTCTCTCTCTGGTCCCTCTCTCCTCTGGTCTCTCTCTGGTCTCTCTCTGGGCTCCCTTTGTTCTCCCTCTGGTCTCTCTCTGGTCTCCCTCTGGTCCCTCTCTGGTCTCCCTCTGTTCTCCCTCTGGTCTCCCTCTGGTCCCTCTCTGGTCTCCCTCTGTTCTCCCTCTGGTCTCTCTCTGGTCTCCCTCTGGTCCCTCTCTGGTCTCTCTCTCTGTTCTCCCTCTGGTCTCTCTCTGGTCTCTCTCTGGTCTCTCTCTGGTCTCCCTCTGTTCTCCCTCTGGTCTCTCTCTGGTCTCCCTCTGGTAATACCCATACATCTCCCTGTCCCATGTCATATGAACAACCTGTTTCGTTGCATAAAACCCTCCCACTCGATCCAAACATCGCTCCAGTGTTGGTCTGTGAATCAGAGCCAGCAGCTGCTGCTTGACATTTACGAGGAGAATTAAATTAAAGCTGTGATAATCCCATTACAGAGCAGAGGCTGATTCACTCACACGAGTTGTCAAAAGGCCAGTCGTAAATACGCATAATGAGCCAACACCTCAGACATGACTTAGAGTGTTGTTGGAGGATCGTCTGAGAGTGCTGCTGTGCGCCGCAAAGATCAAGTGTGTGAAGAGACGGGGTAAAAATAGCAGCAGGTTGACATTCTCCTGCCCCTCGGCTCAATTAAAGACAATGTAGAGCAGCAGAGGCATTCCAAAGGCAACCAGGGTGTCTGCCGCCTGAAAGAAGCAATATTACACTTTTCATTTCGTTCTTACAATGAAAATGAGACCAGAGAGAGACCAGAGAGAGCAGAGAGAGAGTAGAGAGAGCAGAGAGAGACCAGAGAGAACAGAGAGAGACCAGAGAGAGAGTAGAGAGAGCAGAGAGAGACCAGAGAGAGAGTAGAGAGAGCAGAGAGAGACCAGAGAGAGAGTAGAGAGAGACAAGAGAGAGCAGAGAGAGACCAGAGAGAGAGTAGAGAGAGCAGAGAGAGACCAGAGAGAGCAGAGAGAGCAGAGAGAGACCAGAGAGAGCAGAGAGAGCAGAGAGAGACCAGAGAGAGCAGAGATAGAGTAGAGATAGACTAGAGAGAGAGAAGGGAGAGAGCAAAGGGAGACCAGAGAGACCGGAGAGAGAGCAGAGAGAGAGCAGAGAGAGAGCAGAGAGAGACCAGAGAGAGACCTAGTGAGAGACCAGAGAGAGACCAGAGAGAGACCAGAGAGAGAGCAGAGAGAGAGTAGAGAGAGCAGAGAGAGAGCAGAGAGAGGCCAGAGAGAGAGTAGAGAGAGAGTAGAGAGAGCAGAGAGAGAGTAGAGAGAGCAGAGATAGACCAGAGAGAGAGAAGGGAGAGAGCAAAGGGAGACCAGAGAGACCGGAGAGAGAGCAGAGAGAGACCAGAGAGAGACCTAGTAAGTAAGTAAGTAAGTAAGCTTTATTTATATACCGCCTTTCACAGACAAGGGTCACAAAGCGGTTTACAATTGTTATTATTTTTGGGCATTGGTCCACTCACTCCACACAGAGATGGGAGCGGGGTCGCCGAACAGGAGGCGCATGCCAGACCTATTGTACATATTTTTAGTGGTAGGGGAAACCGGAGTACCCGGAGGAAACCTACGCAGACACGGGGAGAACATGCAAACTCCACTCAGAAAGGCTCTGGTCCGGCCGGGATTCGAACCCAGGACCTTCTTGCTGAGAGGCGAGAGTGCTATCCACTCAGCCACCGTGCCACCTAGTGAGAGACCAGAGAGAGACCAGAGAAAGACCAGAGAGACCAGAGAGAGACCAGAGAGAGACCAGAGAGAGAGTAGAGAGAGCAGAGAGAGACCAGAGAGAGCAGAGAGAGGCCAGAGAGAGAGTAGAGAGAGCAGAGAGAGACCAGAGAGAGCAGAGAGAGACCAGAGAGAGAGTAGAGAGAGCAGAGAGAGACCAGAGAGCAGAGATAGAGTAGAGATAGACCAGAGAGAGAGAAGGGAGAGAGCAAAGGGAGACCAGAGAGAGACCAGAGAGAGACCAGAGAGAGACCAGAGAGAGACCAGAGAGAGACCAGAGAGAGACCTAGTGAGAGACCAGAGAGAGACCAGAGAGAGACCAGAGAGACCAGAGAGAGACCAGAGAGAGACCAGAGAGAGACCTAGTGAGAGACCAGAGAGAGACCAGAGAGAGACCAGAGAGACCAGAAAGAGACCAGAGAGAGACCAGAAAGAGACCAGTGAGACCAGGGGGAGACCAGAGGGGCCTGTCTGTGTGGATTTTGCATGTTTTCCCTGTGTCTGCTCTGGTTTCCCCTACCACTAAAAACAAGAGGTGAGGGTTGAACGAGTGTGTGTTTGTGAGTGTGGGACGATAGTTGGAAATGAGTAACACAGCTCCATTCTGGTGTCTTTACAGCTCCTGCTGTTCATGACACTGTCCCATCAAATAAATACAAACACCAACAATGAGCGAGTTTTTGTGTCGTTCATAATCTCCATAATTCTGTAAAAACCCTGTGATTGATGGTATTATTTGCAGTAACTTGAGTGTTTCTCCCTCTCTTCTGTCCAGGCGCTGGGGTCGTTCTTGCAGCAGAACAACCGTCAGATCGATGACATCGTGGCTTTGGTTCGAGGGAAACTGTCCAAACAGAACCGCACGACTCTGGGAGCGCTGGTGGTTCTGGACGTTCACGCCCGAGACGTTCTGTCTGCTCTGGTTCAGAAACGCATCAGTGACGAGAACGACTTTGAGTGGCTCAGTCAGCTCCGCTACTACTGGGTGGTACGTGAGGAGACAGGCCTCAGACTGGGGGACCATGTGCACAGAGGACCAGGTTAACACTCTAGTGATGTGTAAAGAGACCAGAGAGGGACCAGAGAGGGACCAGAGAGAGACCAGAGAAAGAGACCAGTGAGACCAGAGAGAGAGACCAGTGAGACCAGAGAGAGACCAGAGAGAGACCAGAGAGAGACCAGAGAAAGAGACCAGTGAGACCAGAGAGAGAGACCAGTGAGACCAGAGAGAGACCAGAGAGAGACCAGAGAGAGACCAGAGAGAGACCAGAGAGAGACCAGAGAGGGAGACCAGAGAGGGAGACCAGAGAGAGAAACCAGAGAGAGACCAGAGAGAGAGACCAGAGAGAGACCAGAGAGAGACCAGAGAGACCAGAGAGAGAGACCAGAGAGAGACCAGACAGTGAGACCAGAGAGAGAGACCAGAGAGAGACACCAGAGAGGGAGACCAGAGAGGGAGACCAGAGAGGGAGACCAGAGAGGGAGACCAGAGAGGAGACCAGAGAGGGACCAGTAAGACCAGAGAGAGACCAGAGAGAGACCAGAGAGGGACCAGTAAGACCAGAGAGAGACCGGAGAGAGACCAGAGAGGGACCAGTAAGACCAGAGAGAGACCAGAGAGAGACCAGGAAGATAGACCAGAGAGATGGACCAGGGAGAGAGACCAGGGTGAGAGACTGGAGAGAGAAACCGAAGAGTGACTCTGAACTAATCACTGTGTAACTTCTGTCATGTGGCGCATCAGAAGATCAGTGTAAAAAACCACTCACAGAAGAATCCATGAAACAACATCACGATTGACCCCTTTATTACATAATCACACATAAGGAATACAGGTCCAAACGCCTGAGTCCACCCACACTCTGCCTCTAACCCTGATGCCCTGGACACACGGGCCCTTAGCTTCATTAGTGCAGTTGGACCAAAGCTCTCTCTGTGTTACCAGGACGACCAGCTGCAAACCAAGATGATCAACGCAGGTCTGCCGTACGGATACGAGTATCTGGGAAACACTCCTCGACTGGTCATCACCCCTCTGACTGACCGCTGCTACAGGTACAGGTGCTGGGAGACTACTGCTACTGCTACTGCTACTGCTACTGCTGCTACTGCTACTGCTACTGCTACTGCTGCTACTGCTACTGCTACTGCTACTGCTGCTACTGCTACTGCTACTGCTACTACTGCTACTACTACTACTGCTACTGCTACTGCTACTACTGCTACTGTTACTACTACTGCTACTGCTACTGCTACTGCTACTAGTGCTACTAATACTTCTACTGCTGCTACTACTACTGCTGCTACTACTGCTGCTACTACTGCTGCTACTACTACTTCTACTGCTGCTACTACTGCTGCTACTACTACTTCTACTGCTGCTACTACTGCTGTACTACTACTTCTACTGCTGCTACTACTACTTCTACTGCTGCTACTGCTTCTACTGCTACTGCTACTTTCACTGCTACTACTACTTCTACTGCTGCTACTGCTTCTACTGCTACTGCTACTTTCACTGCTACTACTACTTCTACTGCTACTACTACTACTACAATACGACCATACTACTGCTACGAATACTATCAATATGTCAGTCCACCGTCGGCTAACACGAGTCCTGGTTTGTCACATGGTTCTATGTTAAAAGTAGGAGAATAAACTTAAACTTCTCTTTCATGTGACCTCAGGACTCTGTTTGGGGCCCTGCACCTGCACTTAGGAGGGGCTCCCGAGGGCCCGGCTGGAACAGGGAAAACTGAGACCACCAAAGACTTGGCCAAAGCTGTGGCCAAACAGTGTGTGGTGTTCAACTGCTCTGATGGACTGGACTACATCGCCCTGGGAAAGTTCTTCAAGGTGAGGATCCTCTGCAGGAGCGAGGGGCGTGAGACCACTGTTCAATCCACTTTATTTATGTAGCACAGTTTATCAGACATGTTTCCAAAAGGCTGCACAGAGACAAAAATACATATAATAGTCTGACCTCTGACCTGTGTCCTGTGCTCAGGGCCTGCTGTCGTGTGGAGCTTGGGCCTGTTTTGATGAGTTTAACCGCATCGACCTGGAAGTGCTGTCTGTGGTGGCTCAGCAGATCCTTACCATACAGAGAGGTGTGTGTGCGTGTCTGTGTGCAGCACTAACACATGTGTGTGTGTGTGTGTGCGTGTCTGTGTGCAGCACTAACACATGTGTGTGTGTGTGTGTGCGTGTCTGTGTGCAGCACTAACACGTGTGTGTGTGTGTCAGGTATCTCGGCACACTCGGAGATGCTCCTGTTTGAAGGCACAGAACTCAAGTTGGACCCGTCGTGTGCCGTGTTCATCACCATGAACCCAGGATATGCCGGGCGCTCAGAGCTGCCAGACAACCTCAAGGTACACAGACCTCCAGGACTGAGGCTGTAGACCCAGGACTGAGGCTGTAGACCCAGGACTGAGGCTGTAGATTCAGGACTAAGGCTGTAGACCCAGGACTGAGGCTATAGACCCAGGACTGAGGCTGTAGATTCAGGACTGAGGCTGTAGATTCAGGACTGAGGCTGTAGACCTAGGACTGAGGCTGTAGATTCAGGACTGAGGCTGTAGACCCAGGTAGACCTAGGACTGAGGCTGTAGATTCAGGACTGAGGCTGTAGACCCAGGACTGAGGCTATAGACCCAGGACTGAGGCTGTGTGTCTCGTGTGGTCTCAGGCTCTGTTCCGGACCGTGGCCATGATGGTTCCGGACTACGCAATGATCGCTGAGATCGTGCTTTACTCCTGCGGCTTTGTGACGGCTCGCCCGCTCTCGGTGAAGATCGTTGCCACCTACAGGTTGTGTTCGGAACAGCTGTCCTCTCAGCACCACTACGACTACGGCATGAGAGCGGTGAAGTCCGTGTTGACGGCCGCCGGGAACCTCAAGGTCTGTGTTTCACAAAGTTCACAAACAGAGAGAATGTTTAGTCTATGTTTCAGACATTATAAAACACATTCACTTCTGTCACTCATCGTCAGTGTTTGTCTAATGCCATTTCTTGTCAAATAAAGATGTTTTCTATGTTCAAATGTTAACATCATGGAGCCGTTCTGGGGAGATCTCATACATGCGTCAATGAAAGGCAGCCCAGGAATTTACAACAGCTGTAGGCTTTGTGTCAAGAAGAATGGGAAGCTTTACCACCATAGAGAGACCAGAGAAAGACCAGAGAGACCAGAGAGAGACCAGAGAGAGACCAGAGAGACCAGAGAGAGACCAGAGAGAGACCAGAGAGACCAGAGAGAGACCAGAGAGACCAGAGAGAGACCAGAGAAAGACCAGAGAGAGACTAGAGAGAGACTAGAGAGAGACCAGAGAGACCAGAGAGAGACCAGAGAGAGACCAGAGAGAGACCAGAGAGAGACCAGAGAGACCAGAGAGAGACCAGAGAGAGACCAGAGAAAGACCAGAGAAAGACCAGAGAGAGAAAGACTAGAGAGAGACTAGAGAGAGACCAGAGAGAGACCAGAGAGAGACCAGAGAGACCAGAGAGACCAGAGAGAGACCGGAGAGACCGGAGAGAGACAAGAGAGAGACCAGAGAGAGACTAGAAAGAGACCAGAGAGACCAATTAGAGAGATACCAGAGAGCTCAGAGAGAGCGATAAAGATTAAGAACCTCATTAAAAACTTCCACACTAGACTTCAAGCAACACACACTATTGAGAACAGGGGGATGGGGACTTATGATCAGGATCAGAGGTGAAGTTTTTAACCTCGTTGTCATTTATTTCACAGAAAACAAATGGCTTCAAACAAACACAATTCTGTCTGAAATATGGACAGTTCTTCTCTGAGTGTGAACTTTCAACACTGCGCCCGAACTCTAAGATCTCGTTGTGCTTTTGCAGCTGGCGTTTCCCAACGATAACGAGGACAGGCTGCTGCTTCGCTCCATCATCGACGTGAACCTCCCCAAGTTCCTCGCCCACGACCTCAAACTGTTCGAGGTTAGTCCCGAACTCTGAGATTCACTCTAAGCTGGGGTACGTAACCTTAAAGCTGGTGGTATGTAATCTTAAAGATAGGATTTACAGGGCGAGACCACTGGAGATATCAGGTACATGTACTGTATATATGAACCTGAAGTGAAATGAAATGAATTGAAATGGTGTTGAATTAAACCTGTATACTGTAACTCTTGGGTATAAGTTAACGCTGGGTATTCGCTTTGATGAACAAAGTATAAATAAATAAATCTTACTGGTGCAGGATGATAGAAGTAACGAGTCATTAGCGGTGTGTTCTGTGAGTGTAGATCACAGATGTACTGATGCGATGCGCCTCCTCCTCAGGGCATCACCTCCGACTTGTTCCCCGGCGTGCAGCTCCCTCAGCGTGATTACAGGACGCTCCTAGAGGCCATTGAGGAGAACTGCAGGCACATGAACCTCCAGATGACCTCCTTCTACTGCGAGAAGATCCTGCAGATCTACGAGATGATGATCGTCCGACACGGATTCATGTTGGTGGGAGAACCCTTCGGAGGAAAGACCAGCGCTTACAGAGTGTTAGCGGCTGCACTCAATGACGTGTGCAAACAGGTGTGTGTGTGTGTCTGTCTGTGTGTGTGTGTGTCTGTGTGTGTGCACTTGTTTTCAACTCCTGGTGGGTTCCATAACCTGAGATTCCACTCACGTCATGGGGACTGGTTTTACGTGGTGGGGCCCGAACACCGGACCCCACTGGTCCAAGCTTAATAATCAATGGGTAATGCTTTTCTAACGGTCCTTATGCAGTCTCTGTAAAAATATGGAAAGGACCCCTGGAGGTTTACTTTCCTGAAAAAAGTGTGTTATGTGTCGGAACCCTGGTGGTGGGTTGCGGGATATCAAGGAGGGGCACACTGGGGCAATTTCAGTCCAGCAGGCTGGAGCCAATCATGGAGCAGCACAACAGAGGAAATCAGGTGTCAGGCTAGAAAAAGGTGCAAGTGTGTGGTTCATTAGGCTGCAGCCAATCACAGAGCAGCACACTGAAGCGCACGCTTACAAACCACTGGTAAGTGCTGACTACAAGTCATGACTTCAAATTGTTATATAGAATGATTACAAATTATTTGTTGTTTGTGCAGCTTAGTCAAGAGCCCCTAATTGATGAAGTCGACTCAGATTCTGACGATTTAACTGTCAAGAAGAAACTTGTAAAAAAGTATGGAAAAAGAAAAATCAAAAACACTTTTCTTCAAGACTCGGAAAGTGACGAACCAAAGGCAAATAAGATTGTTATCATGCAGCTGCAAAAGAAGAAAAATGGGGGGCGAGTTTACAGCAAGAGACACTTCTGCCTCTACTGTTCAATGTCCTGCCACAAAATGTCTCGTCATTTGACTAGAAAACATGGAAATGAAAGTGACGTAGCCAGAGCATTGGCTCTACCTGTGAAATCTAAAGCACGTAAACTTCCCTTTGATTTGATCAGGAATAGTGGAAACCGTGAGAACAATGTTGAGGTTTTAAAGGCCGGCATTGGAACTTTAGTCCCAGCTAAACAGCCAAATTGCCCAGTTAAATCCAGTGAGTTTTTGCACTGTATAGACTGTGGGGCATTGCTTAAGCGAAAGTGGCTGTGGAGGCATGTGGCCAGGTGCCGGCTTTCACAGAAAGATGCCCAGGCTAAACCAGGTAGAAGTAGGGTCCAGTCCCTCTGCTCCCTAGCCCAGCCTGTACCGGAGGGCATCAGCAAAAAGCTGTGGTCTTTAATTTCGGCAATGCATCAGGATGAGGTCACGGGTGTTGTCAAAGCAGAAAAGGGGATTCTGAGACTCGGAGAGCACCTGTACTTAAAACACGGGCATGATAAGACTAAGCATGATTACATTAGGCAGAAAATGAGAGAAGTCGGTAGGTTAATTAACGAAGCAAAAACTGCAGGGAAACTGAAAACAATTAAGGATTTCTTTATTCCTTCCAACTTTAACCATGTGATTGATGCAGTCAGGTCTGTGGCTGGATATGATGAGGAAACAAATCAATACAAGACTCCATCCTTGGCCCTCAAACTCGGCCATAGCCTCAGAAAGCTAGCAGATATTCTTGAATGTGACTCAAAAATGGAGCATTGTGTTGATGAACTATTTATTAAAAACCTCCAACGAAGCCGGCTGCTTTTTGAGAAGAGGTGGCACGTCTGTGTTTCTTCTGCTGCCCTACAGACCCTCCGGCAAGCCAAGTGGAACACTCCGGACCTGCTCCCTCTGACTGAGGACGTTAGAGCCATGCATGCACATATTGAGGTATGTCGACCTGAATATGTGCAAACCCTAATAAGTGAGCCAACGTCTAAGCATTGGTCTAAACTGGCAGTTTTGACTCTTTGTGAGGTCATTATTTTCAATCGAAGAAGGGAAGGTGAGGTTTCAAAGATGCCACTGACAGCGTTTACCTTAAGAAGTAAGACTGGGATCCATTCTGACATTGCTCTGGGACTGTCCCAACTTGAGAAAAAGCTGTGTCAGCATTTTCAACGCATTGAAATTAAAGGGAAAAGAAGTCGGAAAGTGCCGGTTCTTTTGACTCCTGAAATGATTGCTTGGATGGAGGTGCTGGTGGAGAACAGAAGGGCCTGTTCCATCTCTGACCATAACCCATACTTCTTTTCCCGCCCGGGCGCAGACACCCACATCAGGGGATCAGACTCCCTACGCCAGGTAGCCAAAGAATGTGGTGCGGTGCATCCAGAGATGCTATCCTCAACCAAACTTAGAAAGCACATAGCTACTATGTCTACAGTTCTCAATATGAAAGAGAATGAAATGGACATACTAGCCAACTCCCTCGGCCATGACGTTCGCATCCACAGGCAATATTACAGACTACCAGAGGGGACACTGGAGCTGGCCAAAATCAGCAAAGTGTTGATGGCCATGGAGCAGGGAAGAGTGACGGAATTCGAAGGAAAGAGCCTCGACCAGATACAAATTGAGCCTGAAGGTAATTCTTGATATTATTAAAATATGTATGATTTTTTTCCCCTAAAGGCCACTTGTATTTTTATTTTCTGTGCGACAGGGAGAGCAGTAGAGATCCTCTCACAAACGGACGGGCTAAAAGAAACTTCAAGCGGAGAACCTTCAACCATTCATCCAGATTCACCCCATGGTAGTGGCAGTGCCCCTTCTGGTAAGTGTACCAGGTGGGGGATTACAGCCAGGCTGCTTGGTCCTAACCCTGGGAGTGTATATTGCTAATATATTTTTATTTCTCTCCCTAGAACGTGTAAGAAAGCCATGGTCTGCATCTGAGGTGAAGGCTGTGGAGAAGACCATGACACCTTTCATACAGACTGGAAAGGTCCCTGGGAAGTCTCACTGCCTGGCCTGGCCTGGCCTGGCCTGCATTAATGCCTCACCAGATGACCTTAGACATCGGACATGGAGTGGCATTAAATTCTATGTCAAAAATAGAATCACTGCAATTCGAAAAAAAAATCTAAAATAAAATTCCTTTAAAATAGTTGTTTGGTTTCTATTGACTGTTTTGTATTACTTAAAGTAGTCCCAGTAAAAAAAGATTATGTCTATGGGTCCCATTCTGAACGGCCCTGTCAAAGGGACCCACCAGGTAACAAAAACGTGTATGTGTGTGTGTGTGTGTGTCTGTGTGTGTGTGTGGGCGTGTGTGAGGGAGAGTGTGTGTGTGTGTCTGTCTGTGTGTGTGTGTGTGTGTGTGGGCGTGTGTGAGGGAGAGAGAGTGTGTGTGTGTGTGTGTTTGTGTGTGTGTGTCTGTGTGTGTGTGTGTGTGTGTCTGCGTGTGTGTGTGTGGGCGTGTCTGTCTGTCTGTGTGTGTCTGTCTGTCTGTCTGTGTGTGTGTCTGTGTGTGTGTGTGTGGGCGTGTGTGTCTGTGTGTGTGTGTGTGTGTGTGTGTCTCTCTTCCCTCTCATTCTCTCTTTTCTCTGTTCTCTATTTGCTCCTTTCTCCCTCTCCTCTCTCTTATCTCTCTCTCTCTCTTCTCTCTCTCTATTTGCTCTCTCTCTTCTCTCTTTCTTGTTGCTCCTTCTCCCCTCTCTCTGGTCTCTCTCTTGTCTTTAACTTCAGATGGTGTGACATGAGGTTCCAGAATTAGTTGTGATAAACTTGAACTAAAGTTGTGTGCGGCTGCAACTTGACCCTGACGTGTGATGGATCCTGTGTCATGTGTCACAGTTGGAAAAATACTTTGAGAGTTGTATAAATGATGAAAGGAGCTTTGAGGATTTCTCTCAGTTCTGTTTAATGTGAGAAAGAGAAACTGTGAGTCATTCGCCTGAGACGTTTCCACGGCTCCTGTCCCACATTAATCACCATCACCTTTCATTGCTTCGGGTGTTTTATGGTCTCTCTCTGGTTTCTCTGTTTGGCCTCTCTCTCTTGTCTCCCTCTGGTCTCCCTCTGTTCTCTCTCTGGTCTCTCTCTTGTCTCCCTCTGGTCTCCCTCTGTTCTCTCTCTAGTCTCTCTCTTGTCTCTCTCCGGTCTCTCTCTGGCCTCTCACTGGTCTCTCTCTGGTCTCTCTCTGGTCTCTCTCTGGCCTCTCTCTGCTCTCTCTCTGGTCTCTCTCTGGTCTCTCTCTGGCCTCTCACTGGTCTCTCTCTGCTCTCTCTCTGCTCTCTCTCTGGTCTCTCTCTGGCCTCTCTCTGCTCTCTCTCTGCTCTCTCTCTGGTCTCTCTCTGGTCTCTCCCTGGCCTCTCTCTGCTCTCTCTCTGCTCTCTCTCTGGTCTCTCTCTGGCCTCTCACTGGTCTCTCTCTGGTCTCTCTCTGGTCTCTGCTCTCTCTCTGGCCTCTCTCTGCTCTCTCTCTGCTCTCTCTCTGGTCTCTCTCTGGTCTCTCATGGCCTCTCTCTGGTCTCTCTCTGGCCTCTCTCTGGCCTCTCTCTGCTCTCTCTCTGCTCTCTCTCTGCTCTCTCTCTGGACTCTCTCTGGCCTCTCTCTGGCCTCTCTTTAGTCTCCCTCTGGTCTCCCTCTTGTCTCTCTCTCTTCCTCAGTTCTGTATAATATAAGACAGAGAATCCATGTGTCTTGTGAGTAAACATTCACCTGTGACGTTCAGTCCTTTCTTTTGGATAAACACGGCTCTTGTCTCACATTCATCATCATCTTCTTGTTCATTTCTTCTTAATGGTGTTTTATGGATCCGCTGCTGATGTTGTGGAGCCGAGTGTGCGTCTGCTCCGCTTCCATCCTTCAGCCTATTTTCAGAGCGGCGTAAACTCATCCATCGCCTGTCATCTCCGCGCACATCTCCGCTGTCCTCGGATCGATCAGCGCCAGGCTGCATTATTTACATGGACACAGGCTGAGAGCGGAGTCCAGAGCGCCGCAAACACATTCATCAAAGTCACTTCAGTCTCAACAGATCTGTGCATCCAAATGTACACTGTGTCCAAACGGATCATCCTCAAGGCCAACGGCAACAAATTTAGGGTTAGAACAAGCTGCAGCAGAATCCAGGAGTATCATCTTTGGGACGGATAAAGGATCTGGTAAACTTAAATGTCTATAGGAGTATTTTCCAAAACTTTAGGAGAGATCCGCCCTCTCCACTTTTTCAACAAAACTCTGGTCTTTTTTGACGAGCACATATCACCAGAATGATTGACAATTGGAAGGACCAATAGTCTCAATGATCCACCTATATACCTAATCTGAGAGCCGGGTTCTTTCTGTGTAACATCCATTGTACTCCTGTGATTGTGAAAGATCAAAGTAATGCTGAGTCCATCTTATTTCAGTCAAATCAAACTTTGTGGACGAACCAGGAGCTGTCGTCACTCTTCTTCTGGTTCTTCCTGGAGCTGTGTACTTTATGACAGGAATCGAAGCTGATCGTGGGGCAGATCAGCTTCAAGCAAGGCCACTAATCTGTGCCATTGGCCCCTCCCACCACCGTCCTTCATTCACACACACCACTAGCGCAACAATTATTTCCAGCGATTACATTTGCTAAACATTCCTATTGCTCCGGCTTCAATTTCTTGATAGAACCAGACCGGATTACTTTACTATTGCATTTTTCGCCATTACCAAACTACGAACCTTCCCGTTCACTTGACGTCACCCACATCTAACTACAACACCTGTATCCGCGCTCTCTGAATGGTCGGTCGAAATTCAACCGATTGTAATCGCTAACACAGGGACCAGACCCAGACGCTACATGCAGTGAAATGATGATTGAGCGGAGTGTACGGATGGCTAAGCCAGGCTACTGTCATGGTGATGTTGGGATGTTCCTGGATGAACAGCTGCAGGGAGGTGGCTGTAACAGTGTGTGTTGTTCCAGGGGGTGATGGAGGAGAACGCGGTGCAGATCGCGGTCCTGAACCCCAAGTCCATCACTATGGGGCAGCTGTACGGACAGTTCGACCCTGTGTCTCATGAGTGGTCGGACGGTGTCCTCGCCGTAAGCTACAGAGGCTTCGCCTCCTCACAGGTGAGACTACTGCTGAGACTACTGCTGAGACTACTGCTGAGACTGACGAGACCACTGCTGAGACTACTGCTGAGACTGATGAGACTACTGATGAGACTGATGAGACTACTGTTGAGACTGATGAGACTACTGTTGAGACTGATGAGACTGCCTGCTGAGACTGCCTGCTGAGACTGATGAGACGACTGATGAGACTACTGATGTGACTGAGGAGACTACTACTGAGACTGATGAGACTACTGATGAGACTAATGCTGAGACTGATGAGACTACTGTTGAGACTGATGAGACTACTGTTGAGACTGATGAGACTACTGCTGAGACTGATGAGACTGAGGAGACTACTGATGAGACTGAGGAGACTACTGATGTGACTATTGCTGAGACTGATGAGACTACTGTTGAGACTGATGAGACTACTGATGAGACTGAGGAGACTACTGATGAGACTATTGCTGAGACTGATGAGACTACTGTTGAGACTGATGAGAGGAATGATGAGACTGAGGAGACTACTGCTGAGACTGATGAGACTACTGCTGAGACTGAGAAGATTACTGATGAGACTGATGAGACGACTGCTGAGACTGAGGAGACTACTGATGAGACTTTGGAGACTACTGCTGAGACTGATGAGACGACTGATGAGACTACTGTTGAGACTGAGGAGACTACTGCTGAGACTGATGAGACGACTGATGAGACTACTGTTGAGACTGAAGAGACTACTGATGAGACTACTGATGAGACTGAGGAGACTAACGATGAGACTGATGAGACTACTGCTGAGACTGATGAGACTGAGGAGACTACTGATGAGACTGATGACGTCACCCACATCTGAGACTGATAAGACTTCTGCTGAGACTGATGAGAATGAGGAGACTACTGATGAGACTACTGTTGAGACTGATGAGACGACTGCTGAGACTGATGAGACTACTGTTGAGACTGATGAGACGACTGCTGAGACAGATGAGACTACTGATGAGACTACTGCTGAGACTGATGAGACTACTTATGAGACTACTGTTGAGACTGATGAGACGACTGATGAGACTACTGTTGAGACTGATGAGACGACTGCTGAGACTGATGAGACTACTGCTGAGACTACTGATGAGACTGAGGAGACTGATGAGACTACTGCTGAGACTACTGATGAGACTGATGAGACTACTGATGAGACTGATAAGACTTCTGCTGAGACTGATGAGAATGAGGAGACTACTGATGAGACTACTGCTTAGACTGATGAGACTACTGCTGAGACTACTGTTGAGACTGATGAGACTACTGTTGAGACTGATGAGACTACTGCTGAGACTGATGAGACTGAGGAGACTACTGATGAGACTATTGCTGAGACTGATGAGACTACTGTTGAGACTGATGAGAGGAATGATGAGACTGAGGAGACTACTGCTGAGACTGATGAGACTACTGCTGAGACTGAGAAGATTACTGATGAGACTGATGAGACGACTGCTGAGACTGAGGAGACTACTGATGAGACTTTGGAGACTACTGCTGAGACTGATGAGACGACTGATGAGACTACTGTTGAGACTGATGAGACGACTGCTGAGACTGATGAGACTACTGCTGAGACTACTGATGAGACTGAGGAGACTGATGAGACTACTGCTGAGACTACTGATGAGACTGATGAGACTACTGATGAGACTGATAAGACTTCTGCTGAGACTGATGAGAATGAGGAGACTACTGATGAGACTACTGCTTAGACTGATGAGACTACTGCTGAGACTACTGTTGAGACTGATGCGACTACTGCTGAGACTGATGAGACTGAGGAGACTACTGATGAGACTATTGCTGAGACTGATGAGACTACTGTTGAGACTGATGAGAGGAATGATGAGACTGAGGAGACTACTGCTGAGACTGATGAGACTACTGCTGAGACTGAGAAGATTACTGATGAGACTGATGAGACGACTGCTGAGACTGAGGAGACTACTGATGAGACTTTGGAGACTACTGCTGAGACTGATGAGACGACTGATGAGACTACTGTTGAGACTGAGGAGACTACTGCTGAGACTGATGAGACGACTGATGAGACGACTGATGAGACTACTGTTGAGACTGAAGAGACTACTGATGAGACTGAGGAGACTAACGATGAGACTGATGAGACTACTGCTGAGACTGATGAGACTGAGGAGACTACTGATGAGACTACTGCTGAGACTGATGAGACTGAGGAGACTACTGATGAGACTACTGCTGAGACTGATGAGACTACTGTTGAGACTGCTGAGACTGAGGAGACTACTGATGAGACTACTGCTGAGACCGATGAGACTACTGTTGAGACTGAGGAGACTACTGATGAGACTGTGGAGACTACTGATGAGACGACTTCTGAGACTACTGCTGAGACTACTGATGAGACTGAGGAGACTACTGATGAGACTGCTGAGACTGATGAGACTACTGATGAGACTGATAAGACTTCTGCTGAGACTGATGAGAATGAGGAGACTACTGATGAGACTACTGCTTAGACTGATGAGACTACTGATGAGACTACTGTTGAGACTGATGAGACGACTGCTGAGACTGATGAGACTACTGATGAGACTACTGTTGAGACTGATGAGACGACTGCTGAGACTGATGAGACTACTGATGAGACTACTGCTGAGACTGATGAGACTACTGATGAGACTACTGTTGAGACTGATGAGACGACTGATGAGACTACTGTTGAGACTGATGAGACGACTGCTGAGACTGATGAGACTACTGCTGAGACTACTGATGAGACTGAGGAGACTGATGAGACTACTGATGAGACTGATGAGACTACTGATGAGACTGATAAGACTTCTGCTGAGACTGATGAGAATGAGGAGACTACTGATGAGACTACTGCTTAGACTGATGAGACTACTGATGAGACTACTGCTGAGACTGATGAGACTACTGATGAGACTACTGTTGAGACGACTGATGAGACTACTGATGAGACTACTGTTGAGACGACTGATGAGACTGATGAGACTACTGATGAGACTACTGCTGAGACTGATGAGACTACTGATGAGACGACTGATGAGACTACTGATGAGACTACTGATGAGACTGAGGAGACTACTGCAGAGACTACTGCTGTGTGTGTGTGTGTATGTGTGTGCGTCTGTGTGTGTGTGCGTCTGTTTGCGTGTGTGTGCGTGCGTCTGTGTGTGTCTGTGTGTGTGTGTAATGGCACCGCTCTGTTCAGATCTGTTCTGTTTTCTGTAAAAACTGTTGAGTTTAAATGAAGGTGTCATTCACAGAGACGAGTGCGTGTTCAAATAAATGAGATCAGACCCTCTGCAGTCACAGAGAGGATTATGGAGTGTGTGTTTGGACATTTTTAAATTATATTGAGACGATTGTGTTCTTGCTCTCACGCGGTTCACAGATTTAAAGTGTTAATTGTTTTCTTTTACTCCAACATCATACAAAGGATGTAATTACATGACACTAAAGTATTTATTTATTCTTCAGGATAGACCCTCCATTTTTCAAAGGGGGTCAGGGGGTCTCTCTTTGGTCTCTCTCTGGTCCCTCTCTGTTCTTTCTCTGTTCTCTCTCTGGTCTCTCTGATCTCTCTCTCTTCTCTCTCTGTTCTCTCTCTGTTCTCTCTGGTCTCTCTGGTTCCTCTCTGGCCCCCATACAGTGAATTGATAAAGTATGGTTTGGAGGGGCCTTACGTGTTTAAATGACTTGCATTGGGGGCTGTGCTTTTCTTCACACAGACATTATTATTGATGTTTAAAGGACAAAATGAAGCCAAACTAACATTCTTTAAAATGAACAGATTACCAATGGAATATGTTTGAAATACTGTAGCAGTAGTTTTTTGTATAACAGCCATTACTTCAAATATACAATCTACTTTACACTATCTCTTTCTCTTGTGTTTTAAAGTCTCTTCTTTACCACATTCTTCCTGATCCGATCGAGGCACAATGCAGGTCCAGCGATCCCTCTTCTGTTGTTTCCCTGGTTTCCTAATCCCCCTCTGGTGACTGTCTTATGACTGTTGTAAAAATACCACCCTCTTGTTTCACTGTCCCATATTTTCTGCTCAGACACAGACTGTATTAGACTATGATGCTCGAAGGGACTGAATGTAGCCACGTGCTCCATGTGAGCTGAGACCATAGACACATGGGCAATGCTAACCCGCTAGCTCAAAGAAGCCCAATAAGCACATGGCTCCACCTCTCTCTGGCTCCTATTGACCTCAATGTAAAACTCTCTGGGATCCTGGTGTTTATATGTGATATTGTCTTTGCACATTAAATTTATGAGCCATAACATCAACCAATTAGTTTAACTTCCGAATTTGGCTTTAACAGTGAGTAGAGTTAGTGGAGACAGCTCCTGATTGGCTCTTGGTAACTTGGTTGTTACCACCAACCTTTGCATAAGTTTGTCTCCACATCCCGCTTAAATAGACTGTTGGACTTAGCTTTCGTCAACCTCTTTCACATGAACCCTAAAACTATAGTGTCACACTCAGTCTATTCCTCATATACGCTCTATAGACCACATAACCCCTTGGATCAGAACCCTGAGGCCTCACATACAAACTCTGACCCTCATGCTCTTGATCTTCAGGAGATCTGATGGTTCCACTCTCCTCAGAGCCCTGACAGGAAGTGGCTGATCCTCTTCCTCTCTCCTCAGAGCCCTGACAGGAAGTGGTTGATCTTCGACGGCCCGGTAGACGCTGTGTGGATCGAGAACATGAACACGGTTCTGGACGACAATAAGAAGCTGTGTCTGATGAGTGGAGAGATCATCCAGATGTCTCCACAGATGAGTTTGATCTTTGAGCCCATGGACCTGGAGGTGGCCTCTCCAGCAACGGTGACACACAACCCCATCACAGAGACACAACCACAGAGACAGAACCACAACATCACAGAGACACAACCACAACAACACAGAAACAGAACCACAACAACACAGAGACAGAACTACAGAGACACAACCACAGAGACAGAACCACAACATCACAGAGACACAACCACAACAACACAGAGACAGAACCACAACAACACAGAGACACAACCACAACAACACAGAGACAGAACCACAACAACACAGAGACACAACCACAGAGACACAGAGACACAACCACAACAACACAGAGACACAACCACAGAGACACAGAGACACAACCACAGAGACACAACCACAGAGACAGAACCACAGAGACACAAAGACTCAACGAGTGAGCCAATAGTGTTTCTCGCTGGTCCTCAATAGTGTGTCCTGCTGGTCCTCAATAGTGTGTCCTGCTGGTCCTCAATAGTGTGTCCTGCTGGTCCTCAATAGTGTGTCCTGCTGGTCCCCAATAGTGTTTCTTGCTGGTCCCCAATAGTGTTTCTTGCTGGTCCTCAATAGTGTGTCCTGCTGGTCCTCAATAGTGTGTCTTGCTGGTCCTCAATAGTGTTTCTTGCTGGTCCTCAATAGTGTTTCTTGCTGATCCTCAATAGTGTGTCCTGCTGGTCCTCAATAGTGTGTCTTGCTGGTCCTCAATAGTGTGTCCTGCTGGTCCTCAATAGTGTGTCTTGCTGGTCCTCAATAGTGTGTCTTGCTGGTCCTCAATAGTGTGTCTTGCTGGTCCTCAGGTGTCCCGCTGTGGGATGATCTACATGGAGCCTCAGCAGCTCGGCTGGAGGCCCCTCATGTTGTCGTGGCTCAACACACTGCCCCCTGCTGTCAGCTCCGAGCATAAAACTCTGATCACTGAACTGTTCGACCGCATCGTCCCCACGTGTCTGGAGCTGCTACGCAAGGCCCTCAAGGTGAAGGACAGAGACCCGAGACCCAACACAGAGACCCAACACAGAGACCAGAGAGACCAGAGAGACCATAGAGACCACAGAGACCACAGAGACCACAGAGACCACAGAGACCACATAGAGACCATAGAGACCATAGAGACCACAGAGACCACAGAGACCACATAGAGACCATAGAGACCACAGAGAGATCACATAGAGACCATAGAGACCACAGAGACCACATAGAGACCATAGAGACCATAGAGACCACAGAGACCACAGAGACCACATAGAGACCATAGAGACCACAGAGAGATCACATAGAGACCAAAGAGACCATAGAGACCACAGAGACCACAGAGACCACATAGAGACCATAGAGACCACAGAGAGACCACAGAGAGACAACAGAGACCATTGAGACCACAGAGAGACCACAGAGACAAGAGATGCCATTGAGAGATCACAGAGACCTCAGAGAGACCATAGAGACAACATAGACCACAGAGAGATCGCAAAGACCATAGAGATACCACAGAGAAACCATAGAGACCACAGAGACAACAGAGACAACAGAGACTATAGAGACCACAGAAAGACCACACAGAGACCACATAGAGACCACAGAGATCACAGAGAGCACAGAGAGACCACAGAGACCACATAGAGACTAGAGAGATCACAGAGAGACCCCAGAGACCAGACCACAGACCTCACACTGTTCCATGTGTATCTGCTCTCAGGAGCTGTGTCCCAGCTCCGACACAAACCTGGTGAAGTCCCTCATGAACCTGATGGACTGTAACATGGACGAGTTCCAGGACCAGACCAAGATCAAGACCCTGAGCAACGAGGAGACCTGCAGCTGGCTGGAGGTAACTGGACTAGACTAGGACTGCTTAGGTTGAAAGCAGGTCTAAAGCAGGTCTAAAGCAGGACTAAAGCAGGTCTAAAGCAGGACTAAAGCAGGTCTAAACCAGGTCTAAAGCAGTTTTAAAGCCTGAGATCCACATTATCCTCTGTTTTTGCGCTCTCTTCTGAAAGTGACATTTGGTATGTAAATGAGGCGTTGGTGACGGCTGCACCTGTGATGGGAGCGGGGGTTAATCAGCGCCTCTCCTCTTGAATGCAGATTAAAACACCAGGCAGCGTTTGTTCTCTCTGTCTGCGCTGAGGCCACACTTTTGCATACTCTTCAAAATACACTTTATCCTGATGTTTTAACTGCCTAAAAAATATTCCCAGATGGATCTGACCTTTTTCATTAGCATTATTTATTTCAACTGTTAAAACCTGACTCTGGATTACAACTAAAAATACATCCAGAAAACAGATCCAACAGATATTTTGTTTGTGTTTTAAGCTATTGGGAAGTGAGATGTTCAAGTGCGAAGAAACTACTAAATCTATAGCAACATCTATTGTTCATTAATTTTTTTCATTCATTCAGTCACTCTCTCTGGTCTCTCTCTGGTCTCTCTTTGGTCTCTCTCTGGTCTCTCTCTCGGGTCTCTCTCTGGTCTCTCTTTGGTCTCTCTCTGGTCTCTCTCTCTGGTCTCTCTCTGGTCTCCCTCTTTGGTCTCTCTCTGGTCTCTCTTTGGTCTCTCTCTGGTCTCTCTTTGGTCTCTCTCTGGTCTCTCTCTGGTCTCTCTCTCTGGTCTCTCTCTGGTCTCTCTTTGGTCTCTCTCTGGTCTCTCTCTTTGGTCTCTCTCTGGTCTCTCTTTGGTCTCTCTCTGGTCTCTCTCTGGTCTCTCTCTGGTCTCTCTTTGGTCTCTCTCTGGTCTCTCTCTCTGGTCTCTCTCTGGTCTCCCTCTTTGGTCTCTCTCTGGTCTCTCTTTGGTCTCTCTCTCGTCTCTCTCTTTGGTCTCTCTCTGGTCTCGCTCTGGTCTCTCTCTGGTCTCTCTCTCTGCTCTCCCTAGTCTCTCTCTTTGATTTCTCTCTGGTCTCTCTCTGGTCTCTCACTACTGTTTCTGTGTCTCTGGCTTCAATCAGAACAAACAGAACGAAGAGAGCACAGAGCCCTTTGTCCATTGTTTGAATCACTCACAGAACAAACAACACGGTGACTATTATTATCATTAAAGCTGTGTGTCTCCTGTGTCCTGAAGCTGAAGACTTCTGACGGCAAAGTGTGTTTTCTGCTGCTCTGGCCTCTGCTCGCCTCCTCTGACTGCTCCACTCATGATTCTAAAACTAAAATAACAACTAACGACGTCACATAGAGATGATTATGATCCAGGGGCTGAGGCACCTGCTGTGGAGGGGCCATAATGATCCACGGAAACAGTAGTATCTTGTGTTTTGTGTGGTTTAATTAAAGAAAAAAATACAATTCAATGTATTTGTGTAACGCCCTAAATCACAACAACAGTCGACTCGTAGACGACGACTGCTGGCTGAGGCTGTAGATCAGAACCGAGGGTGTAAATCCAGGACTGAGGCTGTAGATCCAGGACTGAGGCTGTAAATCCAGGACTGAGGCTGTAGACCCAGGACTGAGGCTGTAGACCCAGGACTGAGGCCGTATATCCAGGACTGAGGCTGTAGACCCAGGACTGAGGCCGTAGATCCAGGACTGAGGCTGTAGATCCAGGACTGAGGCCGTAGATCCAGGACTGAGGCTGTAGACCCAGGACTGAGGCTGTAGACCCAGGACTGAGGCCAATGTTCAGGGGTCCCATCATCACACCAAGAAACAGTAGCAATGAACAGACTACAGCGGAATTCATAAGAGCGGTCTCCATATGCAGCGTAACTGATTTGTGTTTTTGGGTTTGGTCTGGTCTGGTCTGGTCTCTGAGGTCTCTCTCTGTTTCCAGGGGATCTTCATCTTCAGCCTGGTCTGGTCTATCGGTGCGAGCTGTGACGACTCCAGCAGACAGAAGTTTGACCTGGTTCTGAGGGAGCTTCTGAAGGGGCCTCTGACTCCACTGCTCAGGAGCAAATATGGACTTTTCACCGTCACCAAAGTGTCAAGAGCGCTGTTCGTGCCGCTGCCTGAAGAGGGCAGTGTGTACCAGTACTGCTTCATCAAACAGGTACGTGCACCTTATCTTCCTCCAAACAAGACGAATCTGTTATGTCTCCAATTAAAGCAGGAACACAGACGGTACTTAGATGGATAATGATAACACATTAGCTCAGTGCTAACTCACTAGCTCAATGCTAACTCACTAGCTCAATAAAGCCCAATAGGAAAGAACTCATAGTGAAGTTCTGATATGAGCCATATACAGTAAGTATTGAAAGAGGAAACTCCAGCTTTCCTTAGCAACCGTCTAGCAACACATCTGCCCCTGTTTTGGCTCAAAGCTAAGGTCTGAACAAATGCCCATATAAGGAAACTGGCTCCGCATTTGTTCAAATCAGTTTCCTCCGCTTTACGGCTAATACTGTGGTGATGTCACAAGTCTTGACATAGTGGCTCAAGTCTGCCCCTAGATGTCTGATACAGTCATTACAATCACACTGTTGTGGTTGTTTTCCAGGGCATGGGGCAATGGCAGCTGTGGACAGACGAGCTGAAATCTTCACCCCCCATCAGCAAGGACAGTGAGTTCAACGAGATCATTGTCCCCACAGAGAACACGGTCCGATACACGGCTCTGATGAAGCTGCTCATCACCCACCACAAGCCCACCTGCTTCATCGGCCCCACAGGCACCGGCAAGAGCGTGTACGTCACGGTGAGTCCGAGTCAGCTCAAATCCTCATGTACCCTGTGTGAGTCAGCTCTAATCTTCATGGACCCTGTGTGAGTCAGCTCTAATCTTCATGGACCCTGTGTGAGTCAGCTCTAATCTTCATGGACCCTGTGTGAGTTAGCTCTAATCCTCATAGACCCTGTGTGAGTTAGCTCTAATCCTCATAGACCCTGTGTGAGTTAGCTCTAATCCTCATGGACCTTGTGTGAGTTAGCTCTTATCCTCATGGACCCCGTGTGAGTTAGCTCTAATCCTCACAGACCCTGTGTGAATTAGCTCTAATCCTCATGGACCCTGTGTGAGTTAGCTCTAATCCTCATGGACCCTGTGTGAGTCAGCACTAATCCTCATGGACCCTGTGTGAGTCAGCTTTAATCTTCATGGACCCTGTGTTAGTCAGCTCTAATCCTCATAGACCCTGTTTGAGTCAGTTCTAATCCTCATGGATCCTGTGTGAGTTAGCACTAATCCTCATAGACCCTGTGTGAGTCAGCTCTAATCCTCATGGACCCTGTGTGAGTCAGCACTAATCCTCATGGACCCTGTGTGAGTCAGCTTTAATCTTCATGGACCCTGTGTGAGTCAGCTCTAATCCTCATAGACCCTGTTTGAGTCAGCTCTAATCCTCATGGATCCTGTGTGAGTCAGCTCTAATCCTCATGGACCCTGTGTGAGTCAGCTCTAATCCTCATGGACCCTGTGTGAGTCAGCTCTAATCCTCATAGACCCTTTGTGAGTCAGCTCTAATCCTCATAGACCCTGTGTGAGTCAACTCTAATCCTCATAGACCCTGTGTGAGTCAGCTCTAATCCTCATGGACCCTGTGTGAGTCAGCACTAATCCTCATGGACCCTGTGTGAGTCAGCTCTAATCCTCATGGACCCTGTGTGAGTCAGCACTAATCCTCATGGACCCTGTGTGAGTCAGCTTTAATCTTCATGGAGTCTGTGGGACATATTGTAAGTGTCTCGTTGGACACCTCTTCCATCTGATTCCCCTTTTTTAGACTTGTTACTCTGTGTTGTGTGTACCTGTGACCACTTGTGTGAACCTGTAACCACCTGTGTGTACCTGTGCTCACTTGTTGTGTACCTGTGTTCAGGACTTCCTGCTGACCTCGCTGCAGAAGGACCAGTACAGTCCTCTGTTCCTGAACTTCTCGGCTCAGACCACAGCGGCTCAGACTCAGAACATCATCATGTCCAAACTCGACAAGCGCCGCAAGGGAGTGTTCGGGCCCCCTTTAGGCAGGAACATGGTACTGCACCACCTCTCACATACATATACACGCACACAAATACACACCCTGTGTGTGACCCTGCCCTGTGTCCAGGTGGTGTTTGTGGATGATGTGAACATGCCGGCCAGAGAAGTGTACGGGGCTCAGCCTCCTGTGGAGCTGCTGAGGCAGTGGTTAGATCACTGGAACTGGTACGACCTGAAGGACTGCTCCATCATACAACTGGTGGACATGCAGATCATCTGTGCCATGGGGCCTCCTGGTGAGACTACAGAGAGACCAGAGGGACCACAATGACCACAGAGAGACCGGAGAGAGACCAGAGGGACCAGAGGGAACAGAATGACCACAGAGAGACCAGAGAGAGACCAGAGGGACCAGAGGGATCAGAATGACCACAGAGAGACCAGAGGGACCAGAAAGACCACAGAGAGAATATAGCTCAGGACCAGTCAAATGCAGAAGACATGTTTTTCTGTGGGGTGAGTGACCTCAGTTCACCTTCAGCTGTATGAAGGTCTATGAGTTTTTCAGTATCCCAGTGTACAACTCATTGACCTTCATCAGGTGTAGCATGGACTGGGAACATCAGGTGTAGGAGACATGGACTGGGATCATCAGGTGTAGCAGGGTCTGGGATCATCAGGTGTAGTATGGACTGGGATCATCAGGTGTAGGAGACATGGACTGGGATCATCAGGTGTAGCATGGACTGGGATCATCAGGTGTAGGAGAAATGGACTGGGATCATCAGGTGTAGGAGACATGGACTGGGATCATCAGGTGTAGGAGACATGGACTGGGATCATCAGGTGTAGGAGACATGGACTGGGATCATCAGGTGTAGCATGGACTGGGACCATCAGGTGTAGCATGAACTGGGATCATCAGGTGTAGTATGGACTGGGACCATCAGGTGTTGCATGGACTGGGATCAGCAGGTGTAGTATGGACTGGGATCATCAGGTGTAGCATGGACTGGGATCATCAGGTGTAGGAGACATGGACTGGGATCATCAGGTGTAGGAGACATGGACTGGGATCATCAGGTGTAGGAGACATGGACTGGGATCATCAGGTGTAGCATGGACTGGGATCATCAGGTGTAGCAGGGTCTGGGATCATCAGGTGTTGCATGGACTGGGATCATCAGGTGTAGGAGACATGGACTGGGATCATCAGGTGTAGCATGGACTGGGATCATCAGGTGTATTATGGACTGGGATCATCAGGTGTAGTATGGACTGGGATCATCAGAAGTCTCAGTTTGACCTGATTGTCTCTGATGCAGGTGGCGGCCGTAACCCGGTGACCCCTCGTTTCCTGCGTCACTTTAACACCGTCACCATCAACGAGTTTGACGACAAAACCATGTTCACCATCTTCTCCAGGATCATCCACTGGCACTTCTCCATACGGTACCGAAGTACAGAGTATACAGTACCTGAAGGACTCTTAGTTCAGAGTATACAGTACCTGAAGGACTCTTAGTTCAGAGTATACAGTACCTGAAGGACTCTTAGTACAGAGTATACAGTACCTGAAGGACTCTTAGTACAGAGTATACAGTACCTGAAGGACTCTTAGTACAGAGTATACAGTACCTGAAGGACTCTTAGTTCAGAGTATACAGTACCTGAAGGACTCTTAGTACAGAGTATACAGTACCTGAAGGACTCTTAGTACAGAGTATACAGTACCTGAAGGACTCTTAGTACAGAGTATACACAGTTACAGTACCTGAAGGACTCTTAGTACAGAGTATACAGTACTGAGTACAGAGTATACAGTACCTGAAGGACTCTTAGTACAGAGTATACAGTACCTGAAGGACTCTTAGTACAGAGTATACAGTACCGAAGGACAGTACCTGAAGGACTTTCTCTAGAGGTTGTCAGAGTATACAGTACCTGAAGGACTCTTAGTACAGAGTATACAGTACCTGAAGGACTCTTAGTACAGAGTATACAGTACCTGAAGGACTCTTAGTACAGAGTATACAGTACCCGAAGGACTCTTAGTACAGAGTATACAGTACCTGAAGGACTCTTAGTTCAGAGTATACAGTACCTGAAGGACTCTTAGTTCAGAGTATACAGTACCTGAAGGACTCTTAGTACAGAGTATACAGTACCTGAAGGACTCTTAGTTCAGAGTATACAGTACCTTAAGGACTCTTAGTTCAGAGTATACAGTACTTGATGTCATAGACTCATATTACACCTGTTATATCTGCTACCTGAATGACAGGCCCCTATTCTTTTTAATCCAAGTTAAAAACAGTTCTGTTTTCACTGCAACAGTTGAAGGATTGTACCTTCAATCTTTTGTATACACTGTGTATTTTTTTATACCTTGTTTGAGTGTTTTGTTTTTGTATCACCCTAAATCACAACAGTAGTTATCTCGGAGGACTTTTCCAAGTTGTCCATTCGCCAACACAGATCAGAGAATCAAACCGTTCAAACACAGGAAACAGTTAAACACTTTGCAGGTGATGGTCTCTCTGGTCTCTCTCTCTGGTCTCTCTCTCTGGTCTCTCTCTGGTCTGTCTCTGGTCACTCTCTCTGGTCTCTCTCGTCTGTCTCTAGTCTCTCTCTGGTCTCTCTCAGGTCTCTAATCAAACAGTTCAAACACAGGAAATGCAACGGTTAAAACACATAAGTAGCATATGGCTTATGTCCATGAATTGTGTATGAACTGTGCCATACAAATAACATTGCCTGGGTGTTTGTGTGTGCTCAGGTTCTCGTTCCCCAGTGAGTTCAGTGCTCTGACCTCAGCCCTGGTCCACAGCACCATGTCTGTGTATCAGGAGGCCACCAAGAACCTGCTGCCCACTCCCGCCAAGTCCCACTATCTGTTCAACCTGAGAGACATGTCTCGGGTGGTGCAGGGCGTGTGTCTGTCCAGACCAGAGACCAGCGAGGATCCAGAGGCCGTCAAGCGCCTCTGGGTGCACGAGGTCTGCAGCAAAACACTGTCTCCTACACAGGATTTTTTGTGCAACTGTGCTTGCTTTTAATCATATACAGCCCCATATTCAGTACGTACTGTAACTACTTGTGTACCGGTAACATGACAAAAACCTTTATGGCTCTCTGGTCATTCTCTAGTCTTTCTCTGGTTTTTCTCTGTAGTCTGTCTCTGTTCTCTCTTTGGTCTCTCAGTGTATGCACGGCTTTTGACAGCTACAGCAGCGCTCAGACCTACTGTACAACCAACCAGTTTAAATGCTCTTCAGCAGTAGTGAATTCAGGTTGTTAGAAAAGTGTATGTGTGAGTTTTACAGCTTTAAAACACAACTGAGAGTATTTACCGTATTGTTATTTTTAGAACACATCACCTCCGTCATAAACCAGGGACCGGTTTACAACATCTATTGTGGTGTGGGACAAGGCTCCTTTTGGTCCTCATTTGATCTAAAACAAAGATGGTCCCTTCTCTGCCTCTGGTCCAGGTCCTGCGTGTGTACTACGACCGTCTGGTCCAGGACTCGGATCGCTCGTGGCTCGTGTCTCATCTCCAGCAAGTGTGTGCGACTCAGTTGAAGAGCGACTTCCACAGACTCTTCCAACACCTGGACCAGGATCAAGACGGGACCGTGACGGAGGACGACCTGCGCAGCCTCATGTTCTGTGACTTCAGCGACGCCAAAGGGGACGACCGGAGTTACCGCGAGGTCTTTGAGTGAGTGTGTTTGTCGTAGTTCTGTACATGTGAGGACCAGAGCTGCTGTGAGGTCTGTGTGAGTGTGTTTACTATCATAATGTACATGTGAGGACCAGAGACACTGTGAGGTCTGTGTGAGTATGTTTACTATCATAATGTACATATGAGGACCAGAGACACTGTGAGGTCTGTGTGAGCGTGTTTACTATCATAATGTACATGTGAGGACCAGAGACACTGTGAGGTCTGTGTGAGTATGTTTACTATCATAATGTACATGTGAGGACCAGAGACACTGTGAGGTCTGTGTGAGTGTGTTTACTATCATAATGGACATGTGAGGACCAGAGACACTGTGAGGTCTGTGTGAGTGTGTTTACTATCATAATGTACATGTGAGGACCAGAGACACTGTGAGGTCTGTGTGAGTGTGTTTACTATCATAATGTACATGTGAGGACCAGAGACACTGTGAGGTCTGTGTGAGTGTGTTTACTATCATAATGTACATGTGAGGACCAGAGACACTGTGAGGTCTGTGTGTGTTTTCTATAATAATGTACATGCTGTGAAGTCTGTGTGTTTTCTGTGATAATGAACATATGAAGAGTTATAATATAATATTGATCTCATGAGTCTCTGTGCTGTCAGCCTGGAGCGGCTGCGGCAGGTGGCGGAGGGGCATCTGGAGGAGTATAACACTGTGAGTAAAGCACCCATGACCCTGGTGCTGTTCCGGTTCGCCATCGAGCATGTGTGCCGCATCTCCCGCCTCCTGAAGCAGCCCAGTGGACACGCCCTGCTGGTGGGAGTGGGGGGCAGTGGGAGGCAGTCACTCACCCGCCTGGCAGCCTATATGGCCCAGGCCGAGCTGTTCCAGGTCAGTCTGCTTACACTGTACAATCTGGACTCTGCTTTTTTGGGTGTGTATCAGCAGAGGACTGACCGAGTGTGACATCACCTTAGTGTTAGCCTCAATGCGGAAGAGGCCGATGTGAAAATAAGCTAACTGGAGCCTAATATTCTTAGGCTGAGTTTACACGGAGACAATGTGGCAGTAAAACGGTATAGTTGGATGTCGGTTGCTACCAACCGTTCATACGGAGACTGTGTTCCAGGGGGGTGAAAACGTACGAGTTCAGATCCAGCCTGCAGAGTGGGACAACTCAGAAACGCTGCACGGCAGGGAGCTTTTTCACACCCGCGAGAGGGGAAAGGTGTGAAATCCCCCTCTGCTCTGACCCCCACCTCCGTGCTGCTCCCCGCACGTACATTTGGACATGCGCAGTAGCGGAGATCAAACAAAAACAAAAATGGCGCTGCGCACACTAACTAACTACGTGGGCTTCCAGCGCGGGACAGAGGATAATTCTACTCCTTCGTTCGTCCAAACGAGACCACGCGAAGCTCTAGGTTCAGTTCCCATTTTCACAGCTGCTGTTAAAATGCAGAATGATGTTGGTACGTTCTGAGGGTCTGGCACAGGAAGTGAGTACACTGCAGAGAGGGGGGCTTGGCACGGGGCTGGGGGTCGTGTGTCGTGTTGTAAAGTTTCTCTGCCCACTACTGGCCGGGCGCTAGAACTACATCGTTTTTCAACCTCATGTGAACGCTGAGAAATTTGCATTAGGAGCCAGGTCGTTTCTGTTAATAGCCTGGAAACGTCTGCGCAGCGTCTCAGTATAAACAGGGCCTTATATGGGCATTTGTTTCGGTGAGAGGCAGACAAAGGCAAACTGGAGCTTCCCCTGGGAATGAAGGCCTCTGATTGGTCAGTCCTTATAGATAAGATAAGATAAGATAAACCTTTATTAGTCTCACAGTGGAGAAATTTCAGTGTCATCGTTGCGCATATTACAGCAGAGAAAGGAAATAAAAGCACTCAGATTGCACACATCAAAGTCTATTATTTAAGATAATAGACAATAAATTTAAGATAAAATAAAATAAAATAAGATAAACTCTGGGCTATAATTGCACTTCCATCCATCCATTTTCTTCCCCTTAATCCAATTCTGGGTTGGGGGGGCGGCAGTCAGAGCTGCACCCAGTACACTGAGCACCAGCCCCTCACTGATCCTCCTGCAGGTGGTGAGTCCACAGGAGCTGAGATAATTGCACTTGGTTCGGAGTATTTACAGATGTCTATATTATACATTAGCAGCGGAGAATATGAGAATATGAATATGAGCAGAATAAACATCAGAAATAATATCAACAGGTAAAGTTGGCTATATATATATAGTTATATGGCTCATATTTGGATTTACAAAGACAATATCACATATAAACACCAGGATCACAGAGAGTTACTGAGCTAGAGGAGTTTACTTTTATATGTAAGTCAATAGGAGCGAGAGAGAGGAGCCAAACTTCACCATGAGCACTTCCCTTTTGTGCTTCATTGAGCTAGTGGGTTAGCATTATCCATCTGTAAACAGCATTTGCTCTTACACTCTACAACCTGGACTTTTCACATGTTTCTGACCATCTCCAACACATTATGTCTGATAGGCCTCTCGCTAAAACCAGAACGTTTCATTGTCTCAAACAGTTGCAAACGCAGAAGAATATAAATACAAGTTTAAGAGACTAAATTTTTACTGTACACACTATTAACTCTATACACAACATTTAAACTCATCAGGTAGAGATCTCAAAGACATACGGCATGACGGAGTGGAGGGACGACCTGAAGCTGATCATGAGGAAGTCCACTCAGGGAGAAGCTCACGGAGTCTTCCTCTTCACCGACACACAGATCAAGATGGAGTCTTTCCTGGAGGACATCGGCAACTTGCTCAACACCGGAGAGGTCTGGAATACCTGCTTTAGACCTGCTTTAGACCTGCTTTAGTCTTGCTTTGAACCTACTTTAGTCCTGCTTTAGTCCTGCTTTAGTCCTGCTTTAGTCCTGCTTTAAACCTGCTTTAGTCCTGCTTTAGACCTGCTTTAAACCTGCTTTAGTCCTGCTTTAGTCCTGCTTTAGACCTGCTTTAGTCCTGCTTTAGACCTGCTTTAGTCTTGCTTTGAACCTACTTTAGTCCTGCTTTAGTCCTGCTTTAAACCTGCTTTAGTCCTGCTTTAGACCTGCTTTAAACCTGCTTTAGTCCTGCTTTAGACCTACTTCAGACCTGCTTTAGTCCTGCTTTAGACCTGCTTTAGATCTTCCCTAGACCTGCTTTAGTCCTGCTTTAGTCCTGCTTTAGTCCTGCTTTAAACCCGCTTTAGTCCTGCTTTAGTCCTGCTTTAGTCCTGTTTTAAACCCGCTTTAGACCTGCTTTAGTCCTGCTTTAGACCTGCTTTAGACCTGCTTTAGACTTGCTTTAGTCCTGCTTTAGTCCTGCTTTAGTCCTGCTTTAGTCCTGCTTTAGTCCTGCTTCAGTCCTGCATTAGTCCTGCTTTAGACCTGCTTTAGTCCTGCTTTAGACCTGCTTTAGTCCTGCTTTAGACCTGCTTTAGACCTGCTTTAGACTTGCTTCAGTCCTGCTTTAGTCCTGTTCTGAGGTGACCTGTGCGTTAGGTGCCGAACCTGTTTGCGGTGGATGAGAAGCAGGAGATCTGTGAGCGAATGCGAATGTTGGATCGACAGAGAGGCCGCGACAAACAGACGGACGGCAGCGCTCTCTCACTCTTCAACATGTTCTTAGAGCGATGTAAGACTCAGCTCCACGTGGTGCTGGCCATGAGCCCCATCGGAGAGGCCTTCAGAGACCGACTCAGGAGGTTCCCCGCTCTCATCAACTGCTGCACCATCGACTGGTTCCAGGTCATTACACTGTACTATCAGGACCCAAGGACTGGTCTCTGTTTATCTGTCAATATGGTTTAGGGAGGGCTACGTTTTAAACAACCAACCATAAGACTCTTTCTGGTCTCTCTTTTTCTCTTTCAGGTCTCTGTTCGCGCTCTAGTCTCTCTCTCTGGTCTCTCTCTCTAGTCTCTCTCTTTCTGATCTCTTTCTCTGATCTCTCTCTTTCTAATATCTCTCTCTGGACTCTCTTTCTGCACTCTGCTCTCTTTCTTGTCTTCCTGTGGTCTCTCTCTCTGGTTTCTGTTCCTCACTGCTCTCACTGATTTCTCTCTGGGCTCTCTCTGGGCTCTCTCTGGTCTCTCTCCATTCTATCTCAGGTGCAAAATGAGTTTGTCTCTTGTTTTGGTTCCAAAGTGTCTTTAGTTCCACATGTCAGTTGTACACACTGCCTTCATAGAGGGTTTCTCTCACAGAGCTGGCCGGAGGATGCTCTCCAGGCCGTGGCCAGCAGGTTCCTGGAGGAGGTGGAGATGTCAGAGGAGACCAGAGCAGGATGTATTCACATGTGTAAGAGCTTCCACACCTCCACCATCTCGCTCTCCCTCAGATTTTACTCACAGCTCCAGAGACACAACTACGTCACACCCACCTCCTACCTGGAGCTTATCTCCACCTTCAAGAGCCTGCTGCAGTCCAAGAGAGCGTGAGTCTGAGGGACTGAGACCAGGACCAGAGACCAGGACCAGAGACCAGAGACCAGAGACCAGAGACCAGAGACCAGAGACCAGAGACCAGAGACCAGAGACCAGAGACCAGAGACCAGAGACCAGAGACCAGAGACCAGAGACCAAATATCAGGACCACAGACTAGGACCACAGACCATTTCTGAACAAAGACCAGAACGGAACCAGACTTTCTGACTGGAGTTTGCATGTTCTCCTTTTGGCAAAGTGCTCTGTGGTCCCCTACCGCTCCAACATGTGGAACAGGTGAATGTGATCAGTGAGTCCGGTGGCACCAGATGTGTACAGTCCCCAACAAGCTTTTTTCCAAAGTTAAATATTTAGTGAGAACCTTCCTGTCTGTGCAGAGACGTGATGACCCTGAAGCGGAGGTACGAGGTGGGTCTGGAGAAGCTGGAGTCCGCTGCCTCCCAGGTGGCTCTGATGCAGGTACAGTTAGAAGCTCTGCAGCCGGAGCTCCGTGAGGCCAGCATCAAAGTGGACCAAATGATGAAGGTGATCGAGCACGAGTCTGCAGAGGTGGCTCAGACCGAGAAGGTGGTGAAGGTGGACGAGGCTATCGCTAACAAGCAGGCCATGGCGGCTAAAGCCATCAAAGACGAGTGTGACGCAGACCTGGCTGTAGCAATGCCCATCCTGAAGTCTGCCCTGGAGGCTCTCGACACACTGACCAATCAGGTACAGGAAGAACACACACACTGACCATTCAGGTACAGGAAGAACACACACACTGACCAATCAGGTACAGGAAGAACACACACACAGACCAATCAGTTACAGGGAACACACACACAGACCAATCAGGTACAGGAAGAACACACACACTGACCAATCAGTTACAGGGAACACACACACAGACCAATCAGGTACAGGGAACACACACACAGACCAATCAGGTACAGGAAGAACACACACACTGACCAATCAGTTACAGGGAACACACACACAGACCAATCAGGTACAGGGAACACACACACAGACCAATCAGGTACAGGGAACACACACACAGACCAATCAGGTACAGGGAACACACACACAGACCAATCAGGTACAGGGAACACACATACAGACCAATCAGGTACAGGAAGAACACACACACAGACCAATCAGGTACAGGGAACACACACACAGACCAATCAGGTACAGGGAACACACACACAGACCAATCAGGTACAGGGAACACACACACAGACCAATCAGGTACAGGAAGAACACACACACAGACCAATCAGGTACAGGGAACACACACACAGACCAATCAGGTACAGGGAACACACACACAGACCAATCAGGTACAGGGAACACACATACAGACCAATCAGGTACAGGGAACACACACACAGACCAATCAGGTACAGGGAACACACACATTTCTCAATTGGACTTTCAAACAAAGAAAGAATTAATATAGACTGGGAGACCACCACTGGACTTACGAGGTTAGTCCGGCTGCGGGGGAGGAGTTTGTTAATCTGTGTTTTATGTTGAACATTGACAGATACCGGCAAAGTAGTGCTTTTCCGAAAAACACTGATTCAAACACTGCTCAAGAGTTCTGCAACTTGTTTAAATTATTGTTTATGTTCCTCGCGTCTCTCTCTCCTCGCGTCTCCGTCTCTCTCTGCTCCTCGCGTCTCCGTCTCTCTGCTCCTCTCTGTCTCTCTCTGCTCCTCTCTCCTCGCGTCTCTCTCTCCTCGCGTCTCCGTCTCTCTCTGCTCCTCGCGTCTCCGTCTCTCTGCTCCTCTCTGTCTCTCTCTGCTCCTCTCTCCTCGCGTCTCTCTCTCCTCGCGTCATCTCGCACCTGCGCTTCTTAAAGATGTTGTTTGATGCGGAGCAGAGTCAGCAGCTAGATTTGTTGTGAGATTATTAAAAGAAGCTTTCTCTTATCTTTACAGTATATAAAGTTTGTGGATGTCATTGCATTGGTGATTAAATGCTATTTTATTTGAATAATGATTGTAAATCTGACTTTTAAAGTCAGTGCCTCACCTCACATACACAGACCAATCAGGTACAGGGAACACACACACAGACCAATCAGGTACAGGGAACACACACACAGACCAATCAGGTACAGGGAACACACACACAGACCAATCAGGTACAGGAAGAACACACACACAGACCAATCAGGTACAGGGAACACACACACAGACCAATCAGGTACAGGGAACACACACACAGACCAATCAGGTACAGGGAACACACACACAGACCAATCAGGTACAGGGAACACACACACAGACCAATCAGGTACAGGGAACACACATACAGACCAATCAGGTACAGGAAGAACACACACACAGACCAATCAGGTACAGGAAGAACACACACACAGACCAATCAGGTACAGGGAACACACACACAGACCAATCAGGTACAGGGAACACACACACAGACCAATCAGGTACAGGGAACACACACACAGACCAATCAGGTACAGGGAACACACACACAGACCAATCAGGTATTACATCCATGGTCTCTCTCTGGATCACCCTCTCTGGTCTCTCTCCAGTCTCTCCCTAGTCTCTCTCTTTTATTTCTCTGTAATCTCTCTCTGTTATCTCTTTCTGGTCTCTCTCTGGTCTCTCTCTAGTCTCTTTCTCTGGTCTCTGGTCTCCTCACCATGTGTCCTCCTCCTTCAGGACATCACGGTGGTGAAGTCCATGAAGAGCCCGCCTCCTGCAGTGAAGCTGGTGATGGAGGCCATCTGTATCCTGAAGGGCATCAAACCGGACCGTATCCCAGACCCGTCCGGCACCGGGAAGAAGGTGGAGGACTTCTGGGGTCCGGCCAAGAAGCTTCTGGGAGACATGAAGTTCCTCCAGAGCCTCCACGAGTACGACAAGGACCACATCCCGCCACAGTTCATGAGCGTCATCCGCAACAAGTACATCACCAACCCCGACTTTGTCCCAGAGAAGATCCGCACTGCGTCTACTGCGGCAGAGGGCATGTGCAAGTGGGTCTGCGCCATGGACAAGTACGACAAGTGAGTCCAGACACACACAGACACACACACAGACACACACACATACACACACACATAGAGACACACACAGACACACACACACATAGACACACACAGAGACACAGACACACACACACAGAGACAGACACACAGACCTACACAGAGACATACACATACACACACACACACACGGAGACACACACACACACACAGAGACGCACAGACACACACACACACACACATAGAGAGACGCAGAGACACACAGACACACACACAGAGACACATAGACAGACAGAGAGACACACACACTCGGGACAGACACACATACCTCTGCAGCAGAGGGTATGGTCAAGTGGGTCTGTGCATAGTACAGCAAAGTGAAGACACATACAAACACACACACACCCACGCACACACACACAGAGAGACACACAGAGAGAGAGAGAGACACACACACACAAACACAGACACAAACACACACACACACACACACCAAACATATTGTATACAGCTGCACAGGGACTGTTCTATTGTGGTTGATCTGTGTGTGTCTCTCTCTCTGTGTGTGTGTGTGTGTGTTGCAGAGTGGCGAAGGTAGTTGCCCCTAAGAAGGAGAAGCTGGCTCAGGCGGAGGGAGAGCTGAGTGTGGCCATGGAGGGACTGCAGCGGAAACAGGCGGCTCTCAAAGAAGTGCAGGACAAACTCTCCATCCTGCAAGACACTCTGGAGTCCAACAAGAACCAGAAAGAGGACCTCCAGAACCAGGTACGACAGAACCACCTCCAGAACCAGGTACCACAGACCGAGCTGCACACACACTGGTTTAGGCAGCATATGTAAATAGTAATGGGTCTCTCTCTGGTCTCTTTCTCTGGTCTCTCTCTGGTCTCTCTTTGGTCTCTCTCTGGTCTCTTTCTGGTCTCTTTCTCTGGTCTCTCTCTGGTCTCTCTTTGGTCTCTCTCTGGTCTCTCTCTGGTCTCTCTCTGGTCTCTCTCTCTGGTTTCTTTCTCTGGTTTCTCTCTCTGGTCTCTCTCTGGTCTCTTTCTCTGGTTTCTCTCTGGTCTCTTTCTCTGGTCTCTTTGTGATCTCTCGCTGATCTCTCTCTGGTCTCTCTCTGGTCTCTCTCTCTGGTCTCTTTCTCTGGTTTCTCTCTGGTCTCTCTCTGGTCTCTCTCTGGTCTCTTTCTCTGGTCTCTCTCTGATCTCTCGCTGATCTCTCTCTGGACTCTCTCTGGTCTCTCTCTGCATCTCTCTCTGATCTCTCTCTGGTCTCTCTCTGATCTCTCTCTGGTCTCTCTCTGATCTCTCTCTGGTCTCTCGCTGATCTCTCCCTGGTCTCTCCCTGGTCTCTCTCTGGTCTCTCTCTGGTCTGACCCTTGTCCTGGTGCAGGTGGAGCAGTGCAGTAAGAAGCTGGAGCGAGCGGAGCAGCTGATTGGAGGACTAGGAGGAGAGAAGAGTCGCTGGAGTGAGATGGCTGTGACTCTGGGAGAGCTGTACCAGAACCTGACGGGAGACATCCTGATCTCTGCGGGAGTCGTGGCTTATCTGGGGGCTTTCACCTCCTCCTTCAGACAGGTCAGTGCAGGCCTGTGTTTTTGACCTGTGTTGATAACAGAGGGAAAGTTTGGTGTGTTGTTTGGACCTGTGTCGGTTTTTCATCATGAGGAAGACAGGAGCAGTGACAGCACAAGTGCCCAGGAACAGAGAGAGAAGAGAGAGACTAGAGAGAGAAGAGCGAGACCAGAGAGAGAGAGAGATCAGAGTGAGGAGAGAAAGACTAGACAGAGACCAGAGAGACTAGAGAGAGACTAGAGAGAGACCAGAGAGAGACCAGAGAGAGACCAGAGAGAGACCAGAGAGAGACCAGAGAGAGACCAGTGAGAGAACAGCGAGAGATCAGCAAGAGAGACCAGAAAGTGTGTATAATGTGTGTGTTTCTCTGTGCTCAGGAGCAGACCCAGGAGTGGATGTCTCTGTGTAAGTCCAGCTCCATCCCCTGCTCCTCCAACATGTCCCTGATGAACTGCCTGGGAGACCCCGTGAAGATCCGAGCATGGACCATTGCTGGACTCCCTTCAGACAGTTTCTCCATCGACAACGGCATCATGATCTCGTGAGTCGTGTTTTCATTGGGGGCAGTCAGTCTGAAGGTGTAGGCGCAGCCACGGTCTGGTTTGGGGACCACAGGATTTCTCTTTTGCTTGTGTATGTGGTTTTACTGCAAATGGCAAATAAATTCAGAGTGTAAAAATCAGGTCCTGGTCCTCTCCAGCTGCAGAGGTCCTGGTCCTCTTCTGTTCTTGGTCCTCTCCAGTTGCAGTGGTACTGGTCCTGGTCCTCTCCAGCTTTAATGATGACGATCTGACCTCTCTCCTGGACAGTAACGCTCGCCGCTGGCCCCTGATGATCGACCCTCAGGGACAGGCCAATAAGTGGGTGAAGAACATGGAGAAGGCCAACAGTCTGCACATCATCAAACTCACCGACTCTGACTTTGTCAGGACTCTGGAGAACTGTATCCAGTTCGGGACTCCAGGTACAACAGAGAGGAGAATGTGAGAGAGGAGCATGTTCACAAACAGACAGACAGTAAAATCACATCAACAAGAGGAGGTGATGTCACAAAGTCAGTTTAAACCCAGTGCTAATATTCTGTAAAGTACTAAGTGCTGTTCAGGGGCTTCACAGTTGTTGAAATACATGTAGTTCCCAACCTCTTTGTCCTGCACCCAGGAGCCCTGTAGTGCTGCCCTGAGGGTAAGAGGACTGGGCCCTCAGGATGTTTCCAAAGACCTAGCGATGCAAGTGGCCTCAGAACCTGCTGAGTCTCTTCTCCCTGACCCTGACTGACCACCTCCACCTGGTGTTTACCAGGGAGGGGCTGCCAAACCAGTAGTGCATGTTCAAACAATACAGTGATCCATGTAGTGAGGACATGGTAGGAGAGGGGAGAGGAGGAGAGGGTATAGAGGAAGGGGAAAAAAGGAGAGAAGGAAGAGAGAGGAGAGGGGAAAGAAGAGAGTGGGGAGAGAGAGAAGAGGAGAGGGGCAAGGAGAGAAGGGAGTGGAGAGGGTAGAGAGGAGGGAAAAAAGAAGAGAGGGTAGAGAGGAGATGAGGGAGAGGGAAGAGAGAGGAGAGAGAGTGGGGAGAGGAGACGAGAGACAGGTGATACTGGTATTTCTGCTTCAGAGCTCTAGACACAGACACTGTCTGAGATGATCTGCTGCTTGTGAAAGAAATAATGAAATCTAAATTGTGGCAGTGTTTACAATGTGCTAACTGCAGACAAGAGAGGAGAGGATGGATGAGAGAGGAGATGAGATAGAGGGGAGAGAAGAGGGGAGAGAGGAGAAAGGAGCTGAGGAGAGAGAGGGGAGATGGTAGGAAAAAGGGAGAGAGGAGACAATAATGGCCACCCTAACACTGACACAGATTCCTCTGCTGTGGCACCTCCCCTGCAGATCCTGCCTGTAGGGGGCACTCCTGCTCTGTCAGCCGCTCTCTCAGACTCATAAACACAGCCTTTGTTCTGGCACTGAAACCTCCCAAAGACTGATCACTGTTAGAGGTGCTCAGAGCTGCTCAGAGCTGCTCCTTCAGCTCCTTCAGCTCCGGCAGCTCCGGCAGCTCCGGCAGCTCCAGCAGCTCCGTGCAGACAACAGCCTCTGTGTGAAATCAATACACAAACGCATCATTATCAGCTCTTCTCGCTCTAATCAGGTCACAGTGATGCTTCTGTCTGACAGTAGAGCCGCTTTATTGTTTTATTGTGGCCTAATGAAGTATCGGAGGAGCTGCCTGAGGGGGAGGGGGTGAGGCGGAAGGGGGGAGGGGGGAGGCACACTAGCTCAGTCCATTAAAAACGCATCAGGACAGCGGCGCGCAGACCCCCGGGGAGCACTGCCGTTCCACTGTTAGAGCCACTGTAAAAGTCATCACGCCGAGATCATTACCTCAGAGAACTGTTACAGCAGGAGAGAGAGGAGGAGAGGGAGAGAGAGGGAGGAGAGAGGAGGAGAGGGAGGAGAGGGAGAGAGAGGAAGAGAGGGAGAGAGAGGAGGAGAGGGAGAGAGAGGGAGGAGAGGGAGAGAGAGGGAGGAGAGGGAGAGAGAGGAGGAGGAGGGAGGAGGAGAGAGAGGAGAGAGGGAGGAGAGGGAGAGAGAGGAGAGAGGGAGGAGAGGGAGAGAGAGGAGAGAGGAGAGAGGGAGAGAGAGGAGAGAGGAGAGAGAGGAGAGAGGGGAGAGAGGGAGGAGAGGGAGGAGAGGGAGAGAGAGGAGAGAGGGAGAGAGAGGAGGAGAGGGAGAGAGAGGGAGGAGAGGGAGAGAGAGGAGAGAGGAGAGAGAGAGGAGGAGAGGAGGAGAGGGAGAGAGAGGAGAGAGAGGAGAGAGAGGAGGAGAGAGAGAGAGAGAGAGAGAGAGGGAGAGAGAGGGAGGAGAGAGGAGAGAGAGAGAGAGAGGAGAGAGAGAGGAGAGAGAGGAGGAGAGAGAGAGAGAGGAGAGAGGGAGAGAGAGGAGGAGAGGGAGAGAGAGGAGGAGAGGGAGAGAGAGGAGAGAGAGGAGGAGAGGAGAGAGAGGAGGAGAGGGAGGAGGGAGAGAGAGAGGAGAGAGGAGGAGAGGAGGAGAGGAGAGAGAGAGAGAGGGAGGAGAGGGAGAGAGAGAGAGGAGAGAGAGGAGAGAGAGGAGAGGAGGGAGGAGAGAGGAGAGAGAGGAGAGAGGAGAGAGAGGAGGAGAGGGAGAGAGAGGAGAGAGAGGAGAGAGAGGAGGAGAGGAGGAGAGGGAGAGAGAGGGAGAGGAGAGGGAGAGGAGGAGGGAGAGAGAGAGAGAGAGAGAGGAGGAGAGGAGGAGAGGGAGAGAGAGGGAGGAGAGGGAGAGAGGAGGAGAGGAGAGAGAGGAGAGAGGGAGGAGAGGGAGAGAGAGGAGGAGATGGAGAGAGAAGGAGGAGAGGGAGGAGGAGAGAAGAGAGGGAGGAGAGGGAGGAGAGAAAGAGAGGGAGAGAGAGGGAGGAGGAGGAGGAGTGGGAGAGAGAGGAGGAGGGAGAGAGAGAGGAGAGGGAGAGGGAGAGAGAGGAGGAGAGGGAGAGAGGAGAGGAGAGAGAGAGGAGGAGAGGGAGAGAGAGAGGAGGAGAGGGAGAGAGGAGGAGAGGGAGAGAGGGAGGAGGAGGAGAGGGAGAGAGGAGGAGAGGGAGAGAGGAGGAGAGGGAGAGAGAGGAGGAGAGGGAGAGAGAAGGAGGAGTGGGAGAGAGAGGAGGAGTGGGAGAGAGAGGAGGAGAGGGAGAGAGAGGAGGAGAGAGAGAGAGAGGAGGAGGAGGGAGAGAGAGGAGGAGAGGGAGAGAGAGGGAGGAGAGGGAGAGAGGGAGGAGAGAAGAGAGGGAGAGAGAGAGGAGGAGAGAGGAGAGAGAGGGAGGAGAGAGGAGAGAGAGGAGGAGAGGGAGAGGGAGGGAGGGGAGGAGAGGGAGAGAGGAGGAGAGGAGGAGAGGGAGAGGGAGGGAGAGGAGAGAAAGAGAGGGAGAGAGAGGGAGGAGAGGGAGAGAGAGGAGGAGAGGAGAGAGGAGAGAGGGGAGAGAGAGGGAGGAGAGGGAGGAGAGGAGAGAGAGAGAGAGAGGAGGAGGAGGGAGGAGAGGAGGAGAGAGGGAGGAGAAGGGAGGAGGAGGAGGAGAGAGAGAGGAGAGAGAGAGAGAGGAGAGGAGGGGGAGGAGTGGGAGAGAGAGGAGGAGAGGAGAGGAGAGAGGAGAGAAGAGAGAGAAGGAGAGATGAGAGGAGAGAAAGAGGAGGAGAGGAAAGAGAGAGGAGGAGAAAGAGGAGAAGGAGGAGAGGAGAGAGAAGGAGTAAGGAGATGACCGAAAGAGGAGGAGAGGAGAGAAAGAGGAAAAGAGAGAAGGAGGAGAGG